TTTCATCACCTCCTTCAGTTGTTGCTATTGCAGTTCTTCAGGATTTGGTTCAAGATTTGCACCTTATCTCCAGTTTGGAGATATATAGCTGGTTATCATTAGCAAACTGATATATTAACTCAAAATCTATGCACAAGCTCTCGCAGGAATTTCATGTTATTGACGAAAAGAGAGTTTGGGGATCTTGACATTGATACATCCAACGTTTTCTCCATTAATTCCCACATGGAATTGCCCACTCAGGGAGGAGCATAGTATCCTTGATTCGTAATCCTCAGATGATCCAAAAGTGCGCCAAAATTGGTTTGAGTGCTTCCAAGAGATCCAGTAAGATAAAGGCACAAATATCACACCCATCCAACTTCTACTGTAGCTCATCCACAAGACTAACCAGTGCTGTTTTTGACTCATGGCCTAGGCTGAAGCCAGACTGGAGGAGTCAAAATAGTAATACTTTATATTGCAAGTCTTATCCATGATTTTTTGGAATTAAGGAGGAAACTGATCCTAATCAGATTAATTTCTTTGCGGGAGAGAGAGACATTTCTTTTTCCAGTTCTTTGTTTTAAAATGTTGGGATTGTTTATCATTTTGAATCTTGTGTGACTTTATAAAAGTAAATCTGTATGATGTTTCATTTAATCTTTCCTTGATTAGAATTATTAGTCGTGAAAGCTTTTATTTGCTTCCTTTCAGGTTGAAAAGGTATTAAAAAATGGTTGCCATCTTATTATCTTCCCTAATGGCACAAGGAAAGAAGTAAGCTGCGATGGAAAGACTACAACCGTAACCTTTTTTAACGGGGATGTAAAACAAGTCCTGGACGATCAGAGAGTTGTATGTATCTATCATATGGAAGTCTTACATAATCAGAACTATGCACTAGCATTAACATTATCTTTAAAACTTTTCTCAACAGATATACTATTATGCTGATGCAAAAACTACACATACCACCTATCCTACAGGTTTAGAGGTTCTGCATTTCTCAAATGGACAGATAGGTAAGCTGAGGGAGTACTTGCATGCCGTTATTGTGAATTCAATTTCTTCTGTACATACAATGTAAGAGAAATCTGATAATGAATATATTATTGCAGAAAAGCATTTCCCAGATGGAAAAAAAGAAATTACATTCCCTGATCAAACCATTAAGAATGTATTCACAGATGGGCGAGAAGTAAACATTTTTCCTGATGGCACTATTGTCCACATGCAACAGTAAGTTTTTTTACCCTGATAAAATACAATTTTAGAGAAAGTCTGATCTAAATTCAATTGCAAGCGTATGGTGGGAGAGATATCATTAAGTCTTGTTTTGGGAGCAACCCAGGGTAAGTGCTGGGTGGGAAGAATAATCAATCAAATTCCACTGGTAGTGTTTCAACTGACCATTTGTTTTGAATGCACAGCCATTTGAAGAGTAAAAAGGATGAGGAAAAACTATGGGCCAGAGTTACCACTTATTCTAAATGTATCCTCCCACATATTTTTGACAACTCCGGTATTAACAACTACTTCCTTGGACTGATGGCAGTTGAGATGTAAACAGTTGAAAAAAATTAGGCCGATTCTAGTCATTACAACTGAGCATAATACACACATAATGTGGCAAAATGAGAAAAGAGAAAAGGAAAATACATAGCCAGAAGTGTCATGCCCCTGGTGGAGACTGACTCTGTGGGAGAGGAGGAACAGCCTACAGGGAGTGGAAATGTGGCTCCGGAGGTTGTATGGAGGAGGCTGGGGAAGGGCAGAGGCTAGCTGGGCAATTGAGGAGGACCCAGGCCCATCCCCTCTCCATCCTAGGGCACGCAGGGAGGAGAGGATAAGGGAGAGACATGGTTTACTGGGGAAGGAGAGGGCTTTGATCCTCTTCATGGGCTGCAGCTGTGACAACTGAATAAGAGGACGGACATGTGTATGGGCGAGTGCTGGAAACAGAGCATGGAAATATCTCTAGTTTATTGTTCCTCTCTGAGTTTGGCGTCCTTCCCAGTGTGTGTTCTGATATCTGTGGATGTCTTCAAGCCCTTATCTTGCCTGGTTTGCGTTGTTTTTTTAACTCTTTATAATTTAAACGGCATTTCCTCCTTCTTGTAACTGCTTGTGTGGGAGTTTTTTTGTCTCCAGTCAAGGATATTTGGAGCTTGGAAGGAAAGTGAAGGAATAAAAAGGGCTTCACCTGTTTTTGGGGGACTGTGTTTATTTTGTATCCCACCCTGGGTTTCACAGGAAGATTATCAATACCAGAAACACAAAATAATATTTGAAGTATGCACATTTTATAGAAAATTACCTTGCCTAGCAATTGAACTCAAACAGTAACTAGGCTAAAATCATATTCTTTTTCCCAGTTCCTAATTTTTCTTTTCCGCAGAATTTAATAAGATGAGGTATTGGTATTCTTTTGTATTTTAATTCAGAGATGGAAGTAAGATTATAGAGTTCAGCAACGGTCAGCAAGAAGTGCATACAGCTGATTTCAAAAGACGTGAGTATCCTGATGGCACAATCAAAACTGTTTATGCTGATGGACATCAAGAGACTCAATATGCCTCTGGTAGACTAAGAGTTAAAAATAAGAATGGTGATGTTGTCATGGACACTCATCCCTGAATGTTTATGTTTTGCTGTATCTTAATATTTATCAACATTTCTTTGTTACATTTTCTAGATGTTGTCTTGTTTGCATAAAAATCTAAAACCTCTCTGTTTGTATACATGTAATGAACTTCTTAATAAATAATTTTTAAAACTCATGTCTAATGCTTCTATATTAACATTGCTGTATACTATATTAGAAACAAAATCCACGTCTCCTTTTTAAAGACTAAACAATTTTTTTTCTAAATAATTATTTCATTTGACTATTAAAATTCACTTTTATTTTCAAACCATTTCTCTTGTATTAGCTACTCACCCAGTTGTGTAACCTGTGAATCTGATAAGCATTCATTCCACCTAAAAATTTTGGTGTGTAGGTCTTGAACCAAATTTGTGGCATTCCATTTGATCTTTCACTCTAATTTGTTTAGGAAGCTTTATGACCTTTCTTTGAGATTAGTTTCAAGCCAATTCTCTAATAGACATGCCATCTTGCCAATAAATAATTAACCTGCTAATCATAACGTAATGAGCAACACTGTCAAATGTTTTGGAAAAATCTACATCTCCACATTTCTGATACTGGTAGGAAAGCTACTCAAAATAAACACAACAGGCACATCTTTTATTAATCAGTAAAATATTGGTGTGAATCACTGGAAGAAAAAAACCTGCAACCAAAGTGTAAAGAACTTAACCATATTATCACATAATCCCCATACAGTTTTGAAAATAAGTATTCTAGTTTTAATGAAAAATATTTAAGAAGAATTTATTATAAGATTAATCAATCTTAAACTTAGAAAAACAGAACCACCTTGTATAGTTGAAAAAATTACTATTGGTCAAATTTTTGGAAAGTTACTATAGGGACAGGTGTGTCAAATTATTTGCTGATATATATTGCCAACTGTATTTGGTAGTCTGTAGTCTCTCTTAACAGCTTCTAAGAGATGATATAGGGGAGCTGATCTGCATAAAGGACATAACTGGAAACTTCTGGAACAGTAACAAAAGACTGCATAAAAATATATGTCAAACTTGCCAATAATTTAAAAAAATCTTTTAATAGTGGTAGTACTGAAATGATTTATGGAAAATGGTTTTACTGACATCTAAAAATCATTGTCATGGCTGCATCTCATCTATCCAAGCTTCATGAGCTGACAGTCTGACATTAGTGGTTGTGTATGTGTGTCAAGTAACAATATGCAGAGCTGGGAACCAGGGAATCTGTTTCCTGAACAATATACAAGCACCTGATTGGACATTTGCAGATAACCAGGAGATGGTTGGGGGAGGGAGGGAGGAAGAGAGAACTTTCCTTTGTGTTGTTTGCACGGAAAAATCTCAGATTCATCTTATGTTACTTCTGTAGCTATTTAAGCTTCAGTAAAGTATACTCTTAGCAAAACAAATGGCCAAGAGTCTTTGTTAGATGGCTAAGTGGGATGGTTCAATCATTCTGTAGTTGGACAATTTACATTGGTAGACTTCACACTTGGCAAATTTAAGTTCTGCAGACTTTAATTCCCAGAATTCTTACCCAGAATTTGAAGCAACCGTTTTTGCTCTTGGGTCAGGAAGTTCCATGCTCAATGGAAATATTTCCCCTATCCCTACTTATTAAATAAAACAAACTAATGTAAAGACATTTTGATGCAAATTCAACTATTTTTTTATTTAAACAACTATTAGCACTTGAACAACGTAAACAAAAAACTCACACTTCTGTGTAGAATTTCCAGAAGTTACAAAAAACCATAACTAAGACAGTTTTAGTACAAAATCAGTTGATTTTTTTTTTAATTGAGGTAGTCCACATCTGAAACAAAAAACAGTATTATTCCAATATATCAATACCTGGGACTGTAAAAATAGATAACCACAAACTTTCAAGCAATCAACTTCTAAATAGTATTGCTACTGAGTCCTTATTGCATTAATGATTATAAAAAGGGGGAACCATTTGGATAATACAGCTATTATTCACAAACACCTATAAGAGCATTGGTCCTTTTACTGAACTTTCCTGTTTATTTTTTAATTCACTTTTCTGGTGCCTTTATTTTCCACCTTGGCTACAATTTGGATACAGTTCTTAGCACCTTCAGTTTAAATCCACCTCTGTATGTGGCTGATTTTTATGACTGAGTTAAAAAAAAAGGAAAGTTGAAGTTTTATTTTATATATTCCTAGAAATATTAGGGCTTACACGGTTTAAAACAATTTCTACAAGAAGTACAGTATTTTTTTAAAAAAATCACTGATCAAAATTAGTGGGATCCATTCATAAACTTCATGCTCTAATTTTTTGCAAATTTTCAGCACGATCAATAGTTTTAAAATGCTGGTAAAGACATAGATAATAATCAATGCTGCTTGCTTACCTATCATTGTGTCAGTTCTGCAAATCCCATTTCCACAAGTTTCATATGAAATAGATGTCCATCTTCATATAAAAATATAATGTGCTCTGGTGAATGTGTCTTGGAAGCATGGTTTTTCAAAAGAGACAACAAATATAGTTTCAGCAGCAATATCAGCATTTCCAATAGAAGTACAATACGCAGACATAGATAAAGCAAACAATTAGAAAATAATGGATTTTGACCACCATACTATAAATTCAAAATCTTTATGCCACATTTCACAAAGATGAAAAAGAATACAGTTTTGAATACAAATCTTACTTATCAAGGAGTCTGGCTATGGTCCTAGCTTTTAATTTCTTCTTGGATTTTATTTCTTCCAAGCAGCTTCAATGGAGAGATTTACATATAGAAGGAATATATAGTTCCCAGATGAAAGTGAGGTAAATTGGGAAGGATAAAAAAAAAGGCTTACCACTGAAGAGGCACTGAGATTTTTGCCTTCAAAGCAGTTCATTGCAGCCCACAATGCATCCAGGCTCCATTCTGGACAATAAGGAATTCTCTCTGTTGCGGAATTATGTAAAGCAGGTTTAAATCCAGCCAGTAACACTCTGAATGCTTGAGCGGGATATTGCATGAACTTAGCCGGAATCTGACGCAACCTAGAACACAGTTTGCAAGTCAAGCTACACACGCTGATAAATTTATGACCATCTTAATTAAATCTAAAACAGGAACACCTATTTCAGCACAAAATTTCTAGTTACTGAATTATCAATCTTGATAAAGTGATTTGAAAAAAGACCATCTCTAGGTTTACCTGCTGGTGGGCAATGTTTTAGTCGACCCATAGTCAACGAATTCCACAAGAACTGAAACAGGATTGAACTCAAGAATAGAAATGAGTTTTGCTCGATACCACAGACCGTCACTATATTCTGCGAGGCAGGGCATGTCTACAAGACAAGCATACCATTCGGTTAGCTGGAATGTCTTTACACTGGTTATCCTGATGAGAGCAGGAGAAAATGAAATGACAGGTAACTCGATAGCACAAAACTACAGGTAGTCCTCTAGTTACGACCACAGTTGAGGCCAAAATGTATGTTGCTAACTGAAACATTTGTGGTGAGTTTGCCCCATTTTACGACTTTTCTTGCCACGGTTGTTAAGTGAATCATTGCATTTGTTAAGTTAGTAACGTGGTTAAGTGAATCTGGATTATGACCCCAGGGACACTGCAACTGTCATAAATATGCACCACTTGCCAAGCATCTGAATTTTGATCATGTGACCATGAGGATGCGGCAATGGGCGTTAAGTGTGAAAAATGGCCATAGGTCACTTTTTTCAGCGCCATTGTAACTTTGAACAGTTAGTAAAGAACTGTTGTAAGTCGAGGACTACCTGTATTCAAGTGAGGTCCAGGTTTGTTGATTCAGCAATTGATCAATTACTATTTTAAAGCAAACTAAACAGAAGGAAAACAAATGAAGCCTTTCTGGACTCATCTTCTCCAGCAAATGTTTACTACACATACTCTCTGAGCGAAAAATTGATGCAGAGAACTGGGAGAGAAGACTGAATGAATGCATATTGGAGCTTGATGGGGTTTAGCACTGAGCTGTTGAAGAGTCAGAGATTTTGGAATGCCCAGGATCACATCGCAGGTCCAAAAAGGGGACAATAAAGGCAGTGGCTAAGGCAGTCTGCTTTGGCTATGGTGACTGGGTGCAAAAGGCGAAAGGTTGGGAGAGAGGGCAGCTGGGTGATGCTTGCAGAATCTTCCTGAGGTGGCTGAATCTTCCCAGGGCATGGAATGGAATCCCAGAGCCATGCAGCTCTGGAAATGTTTGTCACCCCACAAAATATGGTGCAACATGCCCAAAAGGGGGGGGGGAGTGATAGGCAGGAAGGGGGAGTTGTAGTCTAAGAGTGATCAAGCTGCCAAGTCCTTAAATTTTAATCACATGACTGCAGGGGCACAGCAATGGCCATAACTTTGAGCGCAGGCCATAAATCCATATTTTCAACCTCACTGTAACTTCAAATGGTCACTGAATGAATGGTTGTAAACCGAGATCGATAGATGGACTCAAACAAGGAGTGACAAGTGAGAAAAGTCCAGCAATGGGCACAAGTGGCGCACGCAAACATCCTTTCCAAAGACCCTCTTAGCCATGGATGCAATGTATTCTTCCTGGGAATATCAGTCAATTTGGCTGGTTCTGAAAGGAAACTGGACAATTTCATGAAGAATTGTGATATCAACGGCTATCTGAATCCCAGGCACCAAACCTTGAGTAGTGTATCAGGGTAATAATTTAATAGCTGACCAGCTGCTGCAATACTGTAATGATGCTACAAGGATGTAATGCTGGAATGAGGTTTTGGGAGCTGATACCACTTTAAGAGTCTGTTTTATAAGAGAGGCGCTGTTGGGGCGTATCTCTCTCTCTCCGTGCGTGCTTCCATACTGTAATGCTGTATTGCTATTTGTACAAGACCTGTCTCAAAGTACTTTTATGTCACATTGTGTGCACTCTGGCATATTAGTTTGCTGGGAAGTGACAGTGGAGTAAGTTGTGAGTTTCCTAATGTGAGTTTCTCCATTTGGCATGCATCCATGTGGACAAGGTGGGCTTATGGCCCAATTCAGCAAGATTCTCCTTCTATTTCTGAATGTGGATGAGCTTCCTTGGAAAGCAGCTCATGCAAAATAGGACATGATTCTCAGGCTTCTAAGCAAACAGGAGTTAGCCACCTTGAATACAACTGAAAATATTTAAAGCAGGCTATTACATATTTATTTTCTTAAGATTCTAATAATAATTTTAATAATTCTAATAATAATAACAAATAATTCCCTCAATACTGTCCAACTATTTACAAAGTCTGCATTACTATTACTGTTAATCTTCTCATCACTCCTTATCACCCATCCCCTCCTACTTGTGACTGTATGGCTGTAACTTTGTCTCTGTATCCTTACGATTTATACTGTTCCTAGTGTGATTTGATTGCTTATTGTACCCAATGACTATTATTAAGTGTTGTACCTGATGATTCTTGACTCTTGACAAATGTATCTTTTCTTTTATGTACACTGAAAGCATTTGCCACCAAGACAAATTCCTTGTGGGTCCAATCACACTTGGCCAATAAAGAATTCTATCTATTCTAAGTACTATACCTTTTTGAAAATCAGTTAGATGTGGAAGAGTCTCTATGTTCTGATTATACTGAGCCAAAGCTTTCTCTAGAGTGTCAGAATCCAAGCTATCTTCTGTAGATCTCTGTTGGCTGGTGCTGTTTGAGTGAACAATGGAAATATACACCTGGGATAGAGGAAAGTATCTGTATCAAAAGACTGTAAGATCAGAAATAAGTTTGTTCATGTAAAAGCAAAGAATGTTAGATATAATAATATATCGAGAGATAACCTTGATTTTAATCAAAGAAAGGGGAGCAGTTTGATAAATAAGCAAAACAGTAAATAATAAGACCTAAAATGGCAGCAGAGTTTATATTTTAAAAAAAACAAATTGACATGCTGACGAAAAAGGAATTTCTGAAGGGAATGACCTTCCTTCTGTGGAAGGCTCTATTTTGGAAATCAAATCACTCACACCCATGATTTGGGTTATGTATTCATGAATCAAATTCCTAACAATCAACTTCATTAAGAGCAAAATGTTCATTTTTCCTTATCAAGTTATTAGCAGGGAAGAGATCAGGTTACAACTTTCATTACTGCATTACTTTTATTTTAGAAATCAAGTTTATTTTTTCATTTGTTGAGGGTGGAGATATATTCAGTTTCTTTCTAATACCGCTTCTCTGGCTGCTCATTTCCCAGACCACTGAGAAATGTACAGGTGTTGTAAATGTAAATGCTAGATGTATTTAGATGTAAATGCTAATAATTTACATCTGCCACTCTTAGCTGGGTGAAACACTGACATATTAAAAATAGGGGGGAGGGGAGAAGAGAGAAATGTTACGCTAATGAATTTGAGTAGGAGAAGTTTAATCTCTCAGGAGATTCTCCACAAACAATAAGCTTCTCTCTCACACACATTTCTCCTTGTGATATGCAACTATTAGGACCTGAAATGGGGGGTGGGGGGCATGGTTGCAGGTGTGTTGCTGCTATATAAGCTTGAACTAAAATATGTTTGAACTTGTAAAGTGGTGGCAACTTACATTTTTTAAGGTTCTCTGGTAGATGCAATCGAGCATACCTAGTCCCCTTAGGAGCACCTTTTTCACTTCTAGAGCTGTGCAATTTTACATTCCTTATTTGCGCTCTAGCATTCTTTCTCTAGACTAGTTTTCTAGAGTGGAAGAAGACAGCAGCTAGAATATTCAGGTTAAATATTCGAGTCCTGTGACTTATCTTTAATCCTAGACGGTTTTGAAGGGTCCCAAATGGAACTCAATAAACAATCTATTAGACTGAGAGTATCTTCGTGTAAATTCGAAGCAATGTACCCAAAGAGTAGGGAAGATACTGCTTGTTATTCCATCAGATACATATTTTGCGTGGAATTGCCATAGAAACTCAAGGGGAAAAATCTTCACTTAGACTTATATACCACTTCACAGTGCTTTACAACCCTCTCTAGGGGGGTTTGCAGAACATATTGCCCCCAACAATCTTGGAAGGATGGAAGGCTGAGTCAATCTTGAGCTGGTGAGACTTGAAGTGCCAAACTGCTAGCAGTCAGCAGAATTAGCCTGCAGTACTGCATTCTAACCACTGCACCACCACATAAAACACTCCATATATTGAATTTTAATTTTTATATTAATAGTTTTTATGATAATGATTGTTATTGGGCATTTCCCATAAATAATTTTTAAATGTCATCATTAAGTGGATTAAGTAGATGAGGAAAAATTATCTGAATCATTTTCCCTTAAAGAAATGATTGCATTTCAGAGATATTTCCTTATCTAAACAGAGAAGCAGAATGACCATGGGAAGGCAAAAAGCAGTGGGAGTGCAAGCAATTTCTGATTTCTTGGCAGATTCCCCACTGAGCAGCCCTAACTTCCCCAAATTTCATTTCCTTAGGAGGCCAATGGCTACCAGATTTTGGACATATTTTGTAAGCAACTTTGTACACAAATTGTTGCCTTGTGATGCATGAGAGTTTTAATACTATATAGTATTCTTCTTGTAATTACCCCCTAATCCCTTGCGGGGTGAAGTCTGGGCAACTGAATGGAGCTGAGTGTTTATCAGCCAGATGCCTTTCCGGTCGCTAATGTGGAGTTTTCTTCAGCAGATATATTCTCATTGTGCCCTCAAAGAGAAATATCAGCCTCTACCTAGGATCAAACTCATAGCCTCCTTATTGTGAGGCGAGAGCTCCTCCTCTAGGCCACCACACCACTCTTTTAGTACTATATAAATGATACACAAAATTCTCAATCTAAAATACAAAATTATTTCTTCACATGAGGTAAGTTGCTTGATGTAGCTCAATTAAAAGCACTAATTACAAACAAAATACTTAAATCAATTTTTGTCAACAGAGGTGAACAAAACAAAACAGACTTGTTAATGATGGTGCTTGTTCAACATTTTTAATTTAGATACCTCATTTGGTGACACAACGTGCGTTACTTTCACCGGAAAGTGTTCTCCAAGGATAGGCAATAATGGAGAAGTATAAGGTGGCAAAAGAGGAGTCTTTAGTTCATTCTTCAGTAATCCCTAAAATAAGCAAATTATTACAACATAATTTGCAAAACAACCCTAGAGAACGTCAAGGAGTGCTTCTGAAGGCACTAGGAACAACCTGTCTTGGAGACTATGTTGTACAGACTCCCTACATGTACCCATTTTGTTTAGAGAGCAGCAAATTTCTCTGCTGTTTTAAATACTGAGAAATAGGTGTTTTGGAACATAGTTAATTGGAGGACTACTGCCACTTGAACATATGAACATTCCTAGACTACTGCAGAGGAAGAAATCCAAGGCAATCTCCAAGGTGATTCCATTCTACAAAGCTATGATCCATCTTGCGTCTGGGAACAAACTGTAATAGATAATATGCTATTGGCTAGGCAGGGTAACAGTAGGAATCTAATACCATTTATTTAAAGGTATTAAATACCTTTACATTGATTTAAAGTTAAACCTTACCTCATAATTGATAACACAATTTTCCTCCAAGGTTTCATTACTGCATTCTAACCTAGAATCCTATAACATATAAATTCAAATATTAATACAGTATTAATTTCACAGACTTACATTTAGGAAGCTCTTCATGTATACAAAGCAGAAAAATGTTTTTCAGCTGGAAAATATAGGACTACCTATACTACCAAATAGTCATGAACTTTACAAGAAGGAGTTTTGTGGCCCTCTATGGGGATGGTAAAATATCTTGTAACATTGAACAACATCGTGAAAATTTTATTAAATTGGAGGCATCAGGTAACAAAAGGAGAAGAAATTAGACAATCACTTATCTGAAATAGTATAGGTTCTTCTGTTTGAGCAGGGGGCTGGACTAGAAGACCTTGAAGGGTCCTTCCAACCCAATCCTACCTTATGTACAGATTACAGAGACCAAACCCCAAAGTGCATATTAAATGGTATAAACAATCCAAACTATTAGCAAGATAGGGATGAAATTTGAAGAGACAGCCAAATAAATATTCAAATACATTAAACAGATGTCAGCCACAGATTGCTGAATTTTCAAAAGAAAAGGGCCATTTACTCTGTAGTAACAGAGAGCTAAAGGCTTCCTAGAGAATTCTAAAGCAAATTTACAGAAAAGAAATTAGTCACAGCATAACCAGTTCATTAGGCACAGGGTTTGTGTTTCCAAAGAGAATACTTAACCTGAACATTCAAAAACTGTACAAGGAAATCAATGTCTGGCCCTGAACAGATGATCTATGTTTACCTCAGAAACCACGGAGTTACATGGTGCAATTATATTCTGATGGTGTTTGATAACTGTTCTGGTAATAGGATAGGTAAAAGGAAATACTTTTACAGGCAAAGTGAAAAGCTACTATCCTGAGACAAATTAGAAAATTGTTAGGGTGGAAAAATAAATTATTAATTGAAATTGTGTAGACACCCAATTTTCAGATACACTGTTTCAATATGATAAAAAATTGGTACTATGGGGATTTAAAGATGTTCATCAGCAAATAAGATTTAAACTAGAAATGCACAACCTAAGATCTAAGGCTACAAGCTGCTAAAATCAAAATCACGCTGGTTGCACAGCACAACTTTAACAGCTCCCAAGTGAGGAAGTTCATCTACTTGTGAGACAGTGCATAGCAAAACACAAAGGAGGAATGACACTGAATTTGATGGGGAACTATCACTGATTAATTGTAACAGCATAACAAGATTCTTGAAAATTGTAAGGTCTGTCTGTCTTATGGTCTTATCCTCAATTTGCAACTCAGTCCCAGAACAAAACTGACAATAGCAAACATTTTTATTTTTTTGTTTTCAAATCCTTTGCCAAGAAACTTCTAGAAACTTCAAAGTCCTTGTCAAGAAAGAATCAATGCTATACTGGGGGAAAATGTCTATGCATTAGTTTTGCAATTTCAGCTCCAGATTACATCTAGGAATGCTGTTTAGAACTGGTGATATAAGAGGAAGTAGTTATGGTACTCTCTTAAGAGTTTAAATCATTAATTTTCATATCTCACTGATAAACATTGTTTTCATTACTTTTACAAGTTTTTCTTTTCTGTACGATTTTCAATACTGAGCCAACTTCTAACTATAACCCTAAAGACCACAACATCACAACCAGCAGTATGCTTGATAGTACTATCCCTGGATAAGTAACTCGTTTCAGCATGAAATGTTTGAGTTAAATTGTTAATGATTGGAAAAAAAAATACCCATGTTAATATAGAATCACCATCGTCTTCGGTAATACAATGTTTATGGAATGCCATGAAATAAGATAGTGACATCCCCGAAAACCAGAGTCTGACACACACTTTTCCCCAAGGAGGATTTGACTGCTCCTGTTGAAAGAGTAACAAACTCATTATTACCATCCTGTTTGCTACTAAAAGCAGCTCTAAAAACAGGCCTGTGCTTATGACTGAAAGTCTGTAGTAATTTGAGAGATGCTATAATGCTCACACATGACAACGTGTATCATTAACCCCAAAACAAATTACTTTTGTTGAAGAAGCACATTTCATATTTACATGTGTACAGAGGAAAATAGACTATTTAAACTCTTGGCAGTCTGATTTCAGACAAGGATGCATCCCCAAAACTGCATTGGTTGCACTTGTGAATAACCTCTAGAGAAGCTGGGATCAGGGGAACACAATCTTCTTGGTCAGAGGTTTTCAATACTTCTGGACCATTCCACAGAATCAGAGTGAAGAGCAAGTTCTTCAGTTCCTTCGGTGTTGGTGGAGGAAAAGACTTCTACTTTTGTAGACCACCTCAGGGTTAGGGTTCTTTACAATGGTTGTCATTTTTAAGGCCCTGTGTGGTTCTGTACCAAATCATGTGGAACTCATCAAGAAAAAAGAATGGGAAGCTACATTCTTTTTTACTTCTGACTCAAGTCTCTCCAATCCAATTAAATAAGGTCAACTCCTTCCCGGTCTTGTCTATGTGAAAATGCTATTTTATGAAACCTTGGAAGCAGGAATTTTTGACTGATACTTCCCATACTTATGACGAACATGATTTGCTCCTTCCTTCGGATTTCAGGTTATGAATTAAAACTATCATGTTTTTGAAGTGATTGAAGACTCAAACTTTTATTTGGAGGACCCCTAGATTACCCACCAATCCTGTCCATGAGACTGCAATTTCTTCCGGAATTAATGGCAGAAGATCTCCAGATCTAGGGGACCTTAAAATCTACAGCCATTCAGCCATGCTATGGTTGTGTTGAATCCAAGACTTCCTGCTTGGTCTATTTGGAGCAGATTGAACAAATTGTTACTTCCTACAGAGAACTCCATGGCAAACAGGGAGTGTGATCTCTCCATAACCAGGGTCTAATAACAACATATAAGGACATATAAGGACTCCAGATCATGTGACCTGGGGAAAAATATCAGATCTAACATTGCATACACAGATAGCCCTCCAAAACTATGTATCAGGCTTTTTGATAACTTTGATCAGATCCATGAACTCCTGAGCTATGAACTCCAGAACCATAAGCCTGGTGAATATCACTGCCATCTGTCACAGAATTAAACACAGGGAGGCTCATACACAAGCGGCAACCTCATTTGTTTCTTAAGGTCTAACTTCACAGAATCTCATATATGTAGTTACTTGTAGAACAGCACGGCTGGTAATCACTGGGGACTTCTGGACAGCAATAGCTACACTCGCCACTCAGTGTTTTGGCTGGTGTCATGTCCGAAACTCAGGAAGCTTATTTTTGAAAGAGGATCTCCTCCTCCTCACCCAACAGGATTTCTGTAATGCATTCCAGATTACCCTTATTAATCATGATTAGATCATGGACTGGTAGGCCTTATTACAGACATCATTTGATAGGGATGTATTTTTTTGTGAATTTTCTTTCTGTATAATACTGGTATTGTACTTAGTTTATTTTATTAGTTAAATTTATTTATTTTTGATTAAGGGGATTGTGGTTTTTTTTTAACTTTTAGCTCCCACCCCAAGCCTTTGGTAAGGGTAGCATCTGATTGAAATAATGAATATAAAATACAGTATTTAGACATACCATTATGCGTATTTTAACAGATCTTTTTGTAAGTAGTTCTTTAAGCAATTCAACTGCATCGTGCTGCCAAATGTTGCCAACCTAAATGATCGTGATAAAAAAATACACCAATCGATTATCAACTATGAAAAGCCATTGATCCAAAACCTCCATTCACAAGACTAGCTAATCTGGAGAAAGAATAGTCAAGAAACAGGAAATGATTAAATTTGAGTGAACCTCAAAAGCAGAAGGTAAGCACAACTGTATTTTTTTCATTACATACCAAGATGTTTTCAGGCCAAAGATCAACCATGTTTATGCAAACAGCCCTACCTGTTGGAATTAACATCTGGCATATTCTCTAAGACTTGAAAAAAGCAATGAAGAATTGCTATTATCCTGATGATGTGCTTAGTTGGAGCTAGAATGTCTCAAAAAGGGAAATATTGGAAAACAATCTTTGGAGCCAGTTGGAATTTCAAAGCTTTGTCTTAAATGCTATCACAAATTGGCTCCTATAGGGTACAACTACTTACATTTCATAGAAAAGGAAAAATTTTGAGACTACATGGCAATAGCTTATCTGAACAAAAGGAGTAGAACCTGAACTCTAAATACAAACTTTTAATTTTTTTGTTCAGTAACACTTCATTCAAACCATTATTTTTCATTCCACATCTTCAGTGTATCATTTGTTCTTTAGCACAAGCATAACTCATGAAATAGCCAACACATCCAAACTTTTTCCTTGTTTCTCCTGTTATCTCTACTTAAATCTAATCTCTATTTTTCTCCACTGAATTCTTGGTTTCTCCTGTTATCTCTACTTGAACTCTAATCTCTATTTTTCTCCACTGAATTCTTGGTTTCTGTTTGCTACTTTCAATCGAATAACCTCCCTTTTCCTTACAATAAAATCACACCCTTTCCTTATCTTTGTCTACTGTATGTTGTAGGAATTGTTATACACAAAGCATTGCCTTTCAGCACCTTTTGGAAATTATCTGATTCTACCCAGGGCATTCAGGCAAATCAAGCCTGGAGGTAGGTCGTTAAGACTTTATAATCTTACTAAAGTGTTCTGGTCATTTAATAGAATTTAAATAATCCAGAGAATATTAAAATACTTAATACAGAGGGAAATATGTATAAGTTGCTGCTTTAATTCTTGTGTAGATGACAGCTTAGAAGATTTAATTTTCTTCACTTTACTAGACAATGAGACAAGCAACAAATCTGCATATTGAGCAGATAGGTGATTTGTGCTGGAACAAGAATGAAAACTGGTATTCTGCATCTCCCTAGAAATAAGCTGGGGCACAGGAACATGCTAGAGAGTTAGCATAAGCAAAAACAATAATATACCACCCCATAGTGCTTTACAGCATTCTCTGGGCAGTTTACAATGTCAGCATATTGCCCCCAACGATCTGGGTCCTCATTTTACTGACCTCAGAAGGATGAAAGGCTGAATCAACCTTGAGCCACATCAGGATAAAACTCCTGGCTATGGGCAGAGTTTAACCTGCAATACTGCATTCTGATGCTACCAGAGTTCGTTAATATTAAACACTTTCATCTAATATACGGCTTGTATGCATTAAAAGCCTACTACTTTCTAGTAGTCTCCCTCTATAGGAAGTGAGCCTTGGAAAGACTTAGAATTCCCAAAACATTTTATTGTTATAAAGTGAAATATGTATCTAATACTTGTTTCTAAGTGGAAGGGGAATACAATTCTGTTGATGATAGGCATGAACGACAATATTGATACAATTACACTGCATCATGAAGGTAAATTATTTGTATATTTTCATATATTGTCTTGTAAAAATGCATTATGTTCAAATTATAGCATTTAACTCACTGGTACAGTTTTATACAGATGACATGGTATAGAAAATGGAGCTATTTCAGCATACAAAACCGTGGGGTATAGATGGCATGGAGGAATTTTCTCAGTATATCCATAGTCCACATAATGTACCTATGAAAAGTAACAATACACAAGAACAGGTACCTCATTTCATGACGTAGTTCTTTTTGAAAAACTTTTCTCACGCACAAAGGCACAAGAAGGCTGCCCAACCCATCTCTGGTCATATGGTTTTGGAAAACAGATGTGACACAGCAAACTGATTCATATATAACGTTAAGAGAATATTTATTTAGTTGAACTAGTTTCTAAAATGTGAACCCGCCAGGGGCAATGATAGGTCATTTGCATTGTGTTTGTTATAAATGGGAAGCAAGAGGCACTAAAAAAAGGGAATGCTTCTTGAAAATGTGTTCATCTTGTTCATCTTGCAATACGAAGGGAAAATATAAATGGATACAACCTCCTCCCCTACTATGAATAAAAAGCATTGTGGAACAGCTTTCTAGTGATACATAGATCTCTTCCCTTCCCTTTCTGTCCCCAGCCACTAACTGCAATTTAAGTATTTCTACTTTACACAGATCATTAAAGATTATTGATAGCTTCTTTTTAAATGTTTTCATCTAGTATTTCTAACTGGTCTCATAACTTTTTCCAAAAACCATGTTCCAAATGTCTCAATTTGCCTTGCTGTGTCCTGTCTCGTATGAAAGGGAGCCATTCCTGCTTCGATTTGGCTCAACTCCTGTTATGGATATATATCAGCCATTTTGCCATTATTGTATATTCTCCAATTTTGGTCTCCCAGTCTGATCATCATCGGCAACGTTCCTTTTCTGCAACACTTTTAACAATTCAATATATAACTCCATATATGTTACTGCTAAAATATATAATATGCATACATATATAGTTTAGTTTTCTAAGCAATGAATCCAGTAGAGAGAATTCATGTGCTACAGCAGAGGTCCCCATAGTAGGAAGTATACTCAAAGGAATATACTTTTATAACAAAGGGATATACTTTTACAACACTGTCTTCCCCAGGCAACTGGACTTTTTTATTCCTTGAAAGACATTTCACTTTTCATCCAAGAAGTTTCTTCAGTTCTGACTGAATGGTGAGAAGTTGGAAGGATTTATATTCCTTGCAGTCATCTGGTCGTTAGCACTCTTTTTGAGAGTCGCTGAAGCCACTTGGAGGTTTATCTGTGCCCTCCAGGTTACCTGAGTAATGCAAATGGGTGTGGAATCTTCTTGGAACTGCTAAAAGGACTATGTTGTAAACAGGACATAGGTAGTGTGGTATAAGAAGTGAAATATCTTCAAGGAAAAACAAAGGAAGCCCAGTTACCTTTTGAAAACCCGCTTTTGAGACAACTATGACCTGGATGACTGAGAATTTCCACCAACAACATTGCCTTCATTTTAACAAAAACACAAGAAAAAGAACACCAGTGGTGAAAATCTTAAAAACATCAATCTTACCTTTACAATGCCAGCGCCAACTTCTTTAACTTCACCTCGGTACCACATTGTATCTGCTGCTCTTACAACACAAGCTTCTCCACTTTTCCAGTTATAGGGTTTCAGAAGGCCCAAACCTTTGACGTTATCTTGTATATTACCCATTAACTCTTTTAACTTTTGCTCTAGGAAAAATCCAAGCAAATGGTGTTAAGATTATTATCTCTTTAACAGTTTTTTTTTTTTTAAAGATAACGCAATACTAACTTTGCATAGAATGCTTTAAATGTGAACAATGGGGAGATATTTTATCTTGCTTGGTAGATATATAAAAAAGCTAAAAAAATTGGATACAAATACATACATTAACTCTGAAGATTTAAGCATTAAAATACAATTGAAATAACAGATTTTTCTTTAGGGACAAATGGATAAGCAGCTAGAAAAATGTCATGGAACTGTTTTTATATATTGCAATTACAATGAGATTATTATATGCTCAAAAGTGGATAATTATGGTAATACCCACAATGAATATAATGATTGGTAAAGATGGTGGAACTTTCAGAGATGGCTGAATTAACTTTCTTCTTTTAGAGGAATATATCTATCTCTAGAGTCTATATTTATGGCTGACTAGAAACACATTATAACTTTTTTGTGTAAAATGGGAAAATGCACCTGTGATTCATGGTTTCTATTATTTTTTAAAAAGCTGGATAATAGAAAAGAGTGAGCTTTCTTTTGTAATTGTGGAGTAAGGGAAAACTTTGTAACTATACTTATATATTTACTGCAAAGGAAATTGGAAGTTTCTTCTTTCTTTGTGCACCTTTTGTCTTTTTTATTTTATCTCTTTTCTGCTTTTTTTATCGTGTTAGTTTTTATGTCCATTGCAAAACTTTTAATAAGAAGAGTTTTTTTTTAAAAAAAGACAATGTAATACAAAGGGAAAATATAAATAGATACAACTTCCTCCCCTACTATGAATAAAAAGCATTGTGGAACAACTTTCTAGTGATACATAGATCTCTTCCCTTCCCTTTGTGTCCCCAGCCACTAACTGCAATTTAAGTATTTCTACAACTCCTGTTATGGATATATATCAGCCATTTTGCCACTATTGTATATTCTCTTTTAACAATTCAATATATAACTCCATATATGTTACTGCTAAAATATATAATATGCATACATATATAGTTTAGTTTTCTAAGCAATGAATCCAGTAGAGAGAATTCATGTGCTACAGCAGAGGTCCCCAACCCCTGGAGCCACAGATGTCCATAGCCTGCTAGGAAACGGGCCACACAAGTGATGAACAAGCAAGCGAAGCTTTCATCATCTACGTTGCTCACAAACTGTCCCCTCCCACAATCCATGGAAGATAATTTTTCTTCTGAAACTGGTTCCTGGTGCCAGAAAGATTGGAGACTGCTGAGCTACAGGAAGAGCAGTAGCAATGCATAAAGATATAGTTAGTGCTAGTCATAATAACCAATTTATTGCTATGACAAATATATTTGTGTGCCTCTGAAATTGAGATGGGTGATTGCAGAAATTGAATGAAAAAATAAATATGTGATGGATGATAAAGGAACAGGTGCATGTCCAGAATTCCAGGTAACAAATACTTGTAGTTTGGCCCAAGTCTTTGAAAAGGGCAACCAAAACCCTCTTTAGATTGTAGTGGTTGTTTTTTTCTTTGTTCCTGTCCAGCGTTATCATTTCTGTCATCTTTATTCTTGTTTGTTAAAAACAAGAAAATGAATATCTAGAGTTGCTGGGAATTGGGCAATATGTAAATTTAATACATTATTATACCTGTTTGCACACTCAGCCAGATATTTAAACTGCATTTGGTATTTTTATCCACCTATTGAGTTCTTCCTAAAGATCTGGAATAGGCAGAAGTTGTTTGGTGGTGCTAGAAATTTTGTTATAGGATATATAAATTATTCCAAATAGACATGCCTTTTGCAACTGACTAAAGCTGATTTTGTCATTGCCGATGTTCAAAGAGCACTCCAAGTGTTTTAGGATTGCACTCAAAATGGTTATTATTACTTAACATATTATATTTTATATTATGTTATATCAATTATTTTAAAATAGTTATTATGTATTATCGATATTATCTATATCTTTGTATTATATAGAACACTTCAGGAAATATCAGTGATTTCAGGTTGCATTGAATTCAATAGAAACTTGCTAGTATGTATAGAGAAACATGAATAAATAGAATTTTTCTATGCTCAAGTAAATGAAAAATAGGGGCTATGTGTGTCTGCAAATCATTCATTTTCACAATAGTCAGTCACTTATAAATATTCTTTACACATTTTGAATGGGAATCTCAGCAAGCATTTTTTTAAATACACCAATATATAACTGGATCATGTTAATTCAATGCCTTCACTCCAATTACAGAGAGTTAGTTTAGCCTAGTGGTTAAAGTGCTAGATTAGAAACTGGAATTAGAAACTGGAAATCCATGAAAGTCCTGCCTTTGGCACAGAAGCCAGTTGAGTGACTTTGGGTTAGTCATTGTCTCCATATATCCTAAAAAGAAGGTTCTGGAAAAGGTCCTGAATAATGTAGAAAATAACTGTAGTGAATTCTGTTGTAACGAAGAGTCATTTTTGACTTGATTGTCTGGAATAGTACCTATCACATTTATATACATTTCTTTGAAATTATGTTAACACCTATCATAATTGTACATAATTTTTCCTTTACCTTGTGACGTGGGAATCACATAAATTGTTCCATTATCTGAAACACAGCTAACCGTAGCACTGAAGCAATCCAAGCTAGGAAAAACTGGTGGTTTATAGGCCTCAACCACTAGAGGCTTAGCCACTGATATTTTCAGTTTTTGTTGCTTACTATCAGTATCTGAAGGGTCAAAATGCTTTTCTAGTTTAGAAGGATCTTCTTTTTCTGAAACCAGCTTTTCTTTTTCTTTTTCTGAAACCAGCTTCTTTATGTCCACATTCCTTTGTAGTTCATCAGACGAAGCTTGATTTGGATCAATTTTAGGTGCTCTATTAGAATTCAACAGAACATATGTCACCAAATTTTTAAAAACCAAATACATATTATTGGCCTTAAATGCTGCATTGAGGCTAATTCACCATGGCCAACTCACTTGCCATGGCCAACTCACTACGGGACAACTCACTGCAGGACAAGAATTACACTAATTGAAGAAATAGTGGAATAGACACATTAAAGAAAGGATACCAAAAGTAGAACAAAATGAAATGTGAATGACAAAACTTAAAATATTTTTTAACTACTTTAAATAATTAAATTGAGTCGTTGAATTGTTCTGTTAGTTGGCCACAGCAAATTGTCCACAGCGAAGTTGGCTGTAGCGAGCTGTCCTATTCCGAATTTAGACCACACATTTTTCTGTTGGTTTATAATTGAAGGGATTACAGCTAAAATTAGAGCATTAATTTTATATAGAAAACAACATTTTAAATACATTTGAAAGTGAATAACCACTATTCCTTTTTTAAAAATACATACCTTTTTCTAAGTGCTAAGCCTTTTTGAATCATGTATTCTGAAACATCAGTACAGTGTTGTTCATCTTTGCAAAATATTTTTACAGGCAAAGGTGACAAGTTGGTATCCTGGGACAAATTAAAAATGTTTAGGGGTAAAAATCAATTATTCACTGAAATAGAAAATGTGCAGATACCCAATTTCCAAAAATTACAAACATCTAATTTTCAGGCACACTACCTCCACAAAGTGACAACATTTAGGTAGTTATTCTGGAATGTGTGGAAACTTAAATCTGTACACAGCGCAGCAGTATGAAAAAACATAAGCTTTTAAAATTAGAAAACATGTTTCAATTAAAAACCAAATTTATAAATAATGGGACACAAATATGAGATTTGAGAAAAAATTGAGAACATATATAAAGGAAAATATTTCCATTTGAAGGTGCTTGCATTCATCGACAGGTAAGATTTAAACCAGAAATGTGCAACCTGAAATGCTAAGGTTATCTTCTGCTCCTAGAAGTGTGGGTGGCTTCTCCAAATAGAATTATAGAATCATAAGGCTGATTCTAGTCAGTCTTCTAGTCCAAACTCCGGCCCAATGCAGGAGTCAAAAAACTACCAACGAGAGGGACAGTTCTGTATGTGGAAATAAACCACTACGGCTGGCTTATTTGGTTTATATTCCACCTTGGAGCAAACGGCAGTGTTACACAGTCCTTTCCTTCCATCCCCCTCTCTTTCTTTGTCTATCACTTTTCTCCCTTTTTCTTTCTTTCCCTTTTCTTTCCTTACTTTCTTGTCTCTTCCTCTTCCCCCCCTCTCTCTTTCTCTTTCTTTCCCTCTCTCTATCCCTTCCCTTCCTCCTTTGCTCCCTCCTCCTAAGCTAGGAGACCCACCTGAAACACACACACACACACACACACACACACACACACACTCTTCCAACAAGGTAGTCACCCGGCAGCATCGCTCATGACGAGTCTCCCAGAGTTCCAGGGACTGGGTGAGACTGTCCCACGTTGCGTGGAAAAGCCAACAGGCAAGGCTTCCGGGTCCAATAAAGGGGCCGCGGGTGGGACTTCCATCCCTCCCTCTTTTGGGGAAAGGGCTGGGAACTTCAAGCAAAGCTGCAGCTTCGCCCACCACAGTGGTTTGGGCTTTCCTGAGTACCTACAAACTTACCTTCCTCCCGTGGCTGGTGGCAGAGGAAAAGGTGAGCCAGTTAGGGCAGACCCATCGCTACTCAGCTCCCCGCCAGCTCACATCTCCTCAGCTGCTGGGGTTCGCAGGTCGCAGTGGCTGAGGGGGAATGCAGAAGATAACCAGGAAGCACGAGGCTTACGCCGTCTGCATCCCCCTCTGCCAGCTGCCCCTCTGAGCGTTTTAGCAGAGTGCAGGCCGCCGCTATACAAGCTCCATGGGTGGAAGATCCGCTCTCATGAGGCTTGACTCGCATCGTTCTAACAGCGGCAGCCCACATTCAACCAAAGCACGCAGGCTGGGGGGCAGCAGAGGGAAGGGGCGGCAGGCAAGAGGCACCCCTAGCAGGCAAGCCCCAACCCCTGCTCCTAGCAGGCAAGACCTAATAGCTGCGGAAAATCCAGGTGGGACCCAAGCAGCAATGGGTCAGCCCTGGCTCGCCTTCCTCTCAACTACCAGCAAGCTAGGCAAGTGGGGTGGGGGGGGGAAGTTGAATTGCACCGCCCTTGCCTCTTAGCGTCCCTCTGCCATCCCCCTTGCCTCTTAGCGCCCCCCCCCCAAGTCATCCCATTGCCCCCCAGGGGGAGGTACCAATCACTTTGGGAACCACTGAAATAGGTAAATCTATTTGTCCTGGGTTCATTCATTCTTTGGAGGACAGTACTTGGCAAAATTGTTTGCTTAATAATAATATCTATGTGTATATCTCCTCTTCCCACCATCTGCAAAATGCAGGTGTTGGCTCAAAATCCCCTCATTTAAACCATCTTAAATAGTTACAAACTCTGAAGTTTAGTGTATTATCTTCCAACCTCAAATAGTTTGTGTTTTCAGCTGGGATTCCTGACAGACCACAAAAATACCTTAGGCATTAGGTAAAAAGAATATCATGGCTTGGTATAAAAAACTCACCAAAATGTTGATTTTGCTGAACAAATACCAAATATACTAAAATCTTGATTTACAGAAAACTGAAGGGAAGGGTGTCCATTAAATCTGAACTGATGAAATTGAAATAATTCTTTACATTTATGTAATTGATATGAGTAATTTACATTATCTGCATAATTATGTCTTTATACAAATAACACAATTACACAAATCATGTAAGCTGATATAAATTATATAAAGTACATAGTTTCTGGACCATTTCAGAAACAATAGACTTTATCCACCATATGGGGATAGGATCTGAACCCAGGTTTGGTCTACTGTATCTAATATCCATTCTTTAGAAGCCCAGGTCAAACAATCACTGAAAAGTATAAGGACATAATAAAAATTTATCTTTTGAGAAAAATAAAATATTCTCCACTAGAATTTAATATAAAAGAAAAAAAGGTTTTCCAGTCGATTGTTTTTCCAAGTTGATTAAAAGCTTATAAGAGTTTTTTTCTGGGCAGGGCGGTGGGAAGAGGAGATATACACAGCCAAAAGTTTAACTTTGGTGCCAATTTTTTTAATCTTTGTGGTTTAAATATATTTATTACTCATTTATTAAACAAATTTATATGGCTGCCTAACTCATACATGGTAATTCTGGGCAGCTTACAAAGTACAGAAACTGATGAACCTATTACACACAAACACACACACACATTAGAGGTGGCAACAAACACACTAAAACACAAGCAAACCAGCCATTTGAGCGGCATTGTGTCAACTTGGGATCCCCAGGCCCACTGACAGAACATTTTCAGGGATTTTCAGAAAATAATAAAGGAAGTGACTAATTTTATCTCTGGGGCAATGGTATTCCATAGGGAGGAAGCTACCAGAGAAGTCTCTTTTTCTTGGACCCAATTTTGTTCGATATAAGGGGGGAGTTATATATATATGAATTAAAAAATAAACCTAGGAATGAACGTTTGACTTCTGCTTTGTTACTATCAAGTTAAAGTACTTATCAAAGTATACACAGGATGATCTCATTAAAAATGAAAGCATGGATGGTTTATCATATTCTCTTTGTCAAGATCAGAAACAGGCATGGGATGGAAAGTAATTAACAAATCCCAACCCAGGTAAAATCTGTATAACATACACTATGTAGTATCATGTATACTTTCTGTTGAATAATGATTCCTGAAATAAAATCTACACTAAAAAATAGAACATTTGCCAGTACAAACCTGTATTATTAAGTTTACAATGGCTCCAGTTAAATAAGACTTAAGAGTGTCACAAGCAGTTGCTGTCCACTGTTCGGTCCCACCGGATGGGCTAGAATGAAAAGTTGTGGACAGAGAGGGAATATTGTTATGCAGATGGTAACTTGTTTAACAACTGAAGTTATGGCAGTACTGAACAAATGGTACTTACACCAGGCCCTTGAAGTTATAGTTGTTGCAGCACAGCATCAAAATTCACAGCATCAAAATTCAGATACCTGGCAGCCTTCCTGCATTTATGACCATGGGAGTACTGCAACTTCCTCACCTGTCTACCTGCCCCACACAGATTTTGACTGCCCTGCAGAGTGGTACTCTTCAGTTGTGTAGGGGCTGGGGCTGAAACAGAGGCAAGGAAGCAGCAACTGGGAGAAGAGGGTGTGGGTGAGCTGAGGTGGCATAGCACTGACACTGTGGCACTGGGTTAGTTGGTCATGGCAGAGGACTTGAGACACAGCAGCAATGGCTAAAATAGGGCCCAGGGATAGTGGCTATGGAGAATACTAAAGGTCCCAGACTTTACTCCAGAATTGCCACCACCGCTGAGGAAGCTGCTGTACAGGACAGTCACAAGGGCAGTGATGCGGGGAAAATAGGTGGTATGGGGACTTCAAGAGGAGGCAGTCCCAGTCTCAGAACTGGAAGGAATCATGCCAGAATAGCTTGGATTTGGATAGACTAATGACTAGACATTGGCCTAATGACCAATGGGATTCAGTTAACAACAGCAACAGGAACTGCGGGATTGCTGTTGCTAAGGAATACAGTCACGTGACATCATGCTTTAAGTTCGCTCCACTTGGCGAGGGAAATTTTGGTTCCAATGGCCATTAACTGAGGTAGTATAATAGTAAAATTATACATTTCTTATCATACAGAGTTCTGCTCTGCAAGCAGATTTTCATTTTAGTTTTGGTTTTGTCAATCTACATGGGCTTGTAGTAGTTTACTGCAGTAAGTAGTAAATGAATATATTACCTTATATTTGTCAAGGAACACTCTACTGCAAGTGGTCTGATAGTCTTGAGATTCTGTTCAAGTTCTCTTAGACAGGAAATATCCATAGTTTTGACTATGCCTAAATCAATAAGGAATACCTGAAAAAGAAACATTTATCAAAAATTTAGATAGGAGTTCTCTGTTGTTTACTAATTCTGAATGTCTTTGTGAATTAACCCATTCTTTTTATTATTACTAGATGTGAGTACAACCTCCTTAATTCTTTTCAATACTGCAACAGCATAAGTTTACTAGCTTAACATAAACAGCACATTAATAAAATAAATGGCACATTAATCTATGTTAGAGAACATTTATTATTTTGGACTTCTTTTAATTTCTAATTTTTAATGTTGACATTTTACATTTTCACAAAGACCAAGGCCAAAGACAGAAAAATATATTGAACTTGATTATTTAGGTATATATTTTAATTGCATTTTTCAGATATTTTATTGCCAAATTGAAGAGTTTTATGATAACTTAAAGACAATTCGCACAAGCGCATGCGCACACGCAAGACAGAGATCTGATTTAACCTCTCTCTCTCTCCCTCCCTCTCACTCTCACACACAAAAACACACAGAGACAGGGGTGGGATTCAAATTTCTTAACAACTGGTTCTGTGAGTGTGGCCTGATTTTTGTGTGTGTGTGTGTGTGTCTTGGTGGTCATTTGACTGGCTGGGCATGGCTTGTATGTAAATATTATAGATATTTATATAAATATCAATTTTTTTATGTAAAAAAGAGCAACTTTTACCCAAAATCAGGTAAGGCAGGCAGGCAGATTGAGTTGCTCACAGAATCACAGATTCATTCAGAGATCTGTGAGATCAGCTACCTGAGCCTGTCACATAAAATTTGCTAGCAAACTCACAAAATTAACTCACGACACACTTAGAGATCTGTGTTTCTGCCATCGACTAGCTGAGTCTGCACTGTTTCAGTCCTAAGGAAGGTTCGGCTCTGCTTAAAAAACAGAGCTGAAGATCTAAAGATTAGCTAGAAAGCAAGAAATCCAACGATTTACTGCTTTCTAGCTAATCTAAATCTTCCGGCTCAGCAGAACAGATGATGGTCAGAAAAAGGAGAAATAGCAACTTAGCAAAGAAGTTTGCCAGGTAAGGAGTGAGCGGGAAGGGTTCCCGTGGGCCATGTGGGTGGCACAGCCTTGTGTTCCTGCGTAGCCTGGATTAATTGCTTTGGGGGTGCTCTGGGGGTGACATTTTTCTGCGTGGACCACCCAAATTTTCTCACGGACCACCAGTGAGCCACAGCTTGTTCTAAAGGGTTGTCACAAAGAAAAATGAGATGGTCAACCTATTCTCTACAGCAGGACAAGAGATAACAGATGGAAACTTATCAAGCAGAGATCCCACACGGAACTAAGGAGAAATTTTGTGTTAGTGAGAACAACTAACAAGTGGAATGGCTTGTCTCCAGAAGTTGTGGGTATTCCATCACTAGAGGTTTTCAAGCAGAGACTGGACAGTCATTTGTCTGAAATGGTATAAGATCTCCTGCTCGAGCAGAGTTGGACAAGAAGATGACCAAGTCCCTTCCAACTCAGTTATTCTGTTATCTACTCTTTTTTCACAATTCACAATGCAACCAGACTTTTGGCATATAGAATTCTTCATTTAGAGCTTTCTAAATCCAATAGCTTTACAACTGATTAAAGGTTAACAGGGAAGAAAGGGGTTATTTAGTAAATTCCATACATAATATTTTCTAACTTCAAGCTGTTCTATAAACTAGGGTCTCATTCATATGCCATATTAAGCCAAAATTTGGTTAGTTTGATTCAGCTAACAATAGTTAACAATAATCATTAGACACATTAGTTTTTGTTTGTTCAACAAACAGTTGGCAAATTAAGATTAGACCAGGGTAAAACTATGCTGCAAAAACATACTTACTGATGAATTCCTTCCAGTTATAAGGAATAGTTTTGCATCTGAAACAACTTCTTAAAATTATTTACCTCTACAACTTTTTCAGAAACAATCCTGATGATCTTGCCTCTTTGCCATTGATTTTGTTCACATACATAAGCAGCACAATCCATATCAGCTTCCCATTTAATTGCTTCATTCTCTGTTTCAAAATAAGTAGCAATCATATTTTCCTGTAACCTAAAGTTTTAAAAAGTGAATCACATCATTAATCTAGATTTTCAAAATGATTCTAAAAATTAATTTTGCAGATCTATGCAAAAGTGTCAAATTGTTATTCCTCACTATTAAAATCCCTGTCAATTAAAAGCTAATCCATTCTAGCAAAGAAAAAATGGCACAATGATTTAGTCTTTATATGTTTTCATCAAAAATACATTTTGTGGCACCAAGTTGCTCCCTTACCTTTTTAGAATTTTTTCTGATAACATAAAATGCACAAATATCTTGCTAGGAGATACAATGTGATTAATTTGCACTTGCAATTCTTTATTACTTTCCAAAACCAAATCTTCCATCTGTCGCAAGTCTTCAATCCCAAATTTTAATAAAGATTTCTCTGCTTTGAACATATCCTCCAGATCAGGATCCCATATTTCATTATAAGGTGCAACAATCATTTTGCTGTTACTATAAAAAGAAAATCAATTTTGTTTATACTGGCATATACCAATGCCAAAAAAGCTGAAACATGTCCACAGTAATTGCTATGTATACTTTGAAAATTAGCTCAAAGTTGCATATGAGAAATATGCTGAAATATTGTACAAACTCAGTACAGTTGCTATGACAACCTGACAAGCATACTTACCCTATTATGTAAGATGCTAAGCCCTCTTTAACCAAAAGATTGTTCACACTGCCTGACAGCTTTGGGGACACACATACACTTTGATAGAGCTCAACAGATAGTACATTATCTTCTGATTTTTCTACAAAGGAAGAAAAATACATTCAAATCTGCTGAATTTTGAGGGGGAAAAACATCTAATGATTCAACTATTCTCCAAATTAAGAACATGAACCTTTTTCTCTGTGATATAATATCGTTTTGTTTTGGTTTAATGTGTTTTATAAGCAGTGATTTGTTGCTTAATATTGTGTGAACCCACTTAATCATGGCTTAAGAGAAAATAACAATGAAAATAACATTAATTATGCCCTATAATTATCCAACATCTTTTAAGCCTGAATTCCAAGTGGTTCCAATCAAATGAATTGATATATATTAAAAGAACTGGGTCATGGATGAGTTCTTCCCACACTGCTATTTAGACATATATGACCACCAAAAGCTACCAAATAGATAGCAATTAGCAAGAAAGTGGAAATTATAGCATAACTTATAAACCATTTGTAAGTATGAGTTTCGAATTACCCATCACATGATTCTCTCCTCTGAACAAGAACAGAGTAAACAACTGATCTTTGATCAGTTAATTGTTAATCTACAGATATTTAACTGCAAGTATTTTAATTGGTATCATGAATAACGCAAAAACAGCAGCATTAAAGAACAAATATATGAAGATAGTTGAAACATCCATATAATCATGCTTTCAATAATACCCCAAATCAGCTGAAGAATGAAAACAAGGTAGTCCTTACTACTACTGGTGATGGTGTCTTTACTACTGGTGATGGAAAATGTATGACCTTTGGAGGGCAGGACAGGGCAGAAAATCAAATCAAATCAAAGATAATATTATAAGCACATGTGCAGTTTCACTAGCTTTTATTATTTACATACCGCTCATCTCTGTTTAACAATAAAGTTGCCAGTATCAATGTGGTTACTAAACAAGGACTACCTGTAACCTTGACCTGCTTGCAGTATTTGAGGAGAAATCGGACAAATCATCTCTCATTTGAGTGTATTCCATAGGTTGGGATTCATGACAGACAAAGTAAGTCACTTCATGAGAAAAGGAACTCTCCACAGGTCTTCTCTAAATATTTTAAGCATGGATTTAATTCTGTGCCTCATGTATTCTGATGCTGTAGTTTACAGCTTTAAAGATAATAACCAGCATTTTGAATGGGGTCTGGAAGCTTACTGACAACCAAGAAAATAACAGTATTTTACCCTGGCAATCTAGACACTGAGGTGAAATATTCAGGTTGTTTTCAAAATCAGCCCTAAGGTTTCTTGTAGTAGTCAACTAAATGGTGAGCAAGACAGGAGTTAATGTTGTCAGGGCAGAGAAATAAATACTTACCTGTAACAAAGCAGAGCACACATTTGTCCTGAATCAATTGTTCAAACCTGTCCTTTGATTGGACAGTCCATTCAGTGGCTTCTTTACATGGTTTAATATAAGCCAATTTGCACCTGATAGCCTAGGTTGTAAAATACATGGACTGTTTAGCTGAAAAGTCATTCTCATCACAGAAATACTTAGATATATATTCTCTCATACAAAGAAATCCTAATGGTTTCCAAAACAACAAAGTTTAGATTCACACAACTTAAACTTATTCTTATGTTTTTCCAGTCCTTTGGTGAATAGCAGTTGGGCGGCGGGGTCCTTTTACAGTGCTGAACCCCGCCTCTTCCATCTTTGTCATTGCTCACCCCTTTGTCTCTTTTCCACAGTGCAGAAGTCAACAGGCAGAGCTGGCACATTAGGCGCACATCAGGTGTGCCTTATAGTGTGAAAAATATGGTATTTGTATCACAACTTATTATTTTTACAAATAAGTCAAATAACAGATACACCTAATACTCAGGGGTGGGATTCAAATTTTTTAACAACTGGCTCTGTGGGCGTGGCTTAGTTGATGGGCATGGCTCGGTGGTCATGTGACTGGCTGGGCCTAGCCAACTCAACATCACTCACATCGAGGCATGCATCTCCTCGCCTGGCCTCTCATGACTGTGGGGATGCTGCAACAGTTGTAAGTGTGAAAAACAGTTATGTCACTTTTTTCAGTGCTATTGTAACTTTGAATGGTCACTCCACACAACCAAAGTACCAGCAAAGAAGGGGAAAAAACCTCCAGAGACATTCCTGAGACAGGAAGTCTAGTCCTGCCAAGAATGCAATAAGGGTTGATGGAGAGGCAGTTTCTGTAAGCAACACCAGAATGTTTCCTTCCTGCCTTCCTTACAGGATTAGGCCAGTACTAACAACCGGTTCTAGCAAATAGGTGCGAACCTGTAGAATCCCACCCTGCTAATACTCCTTCCTGCCATTTTCTCAACCACCACCCTGTCAGATAGATTGGGCTGACAGAGAATGATTGGCTCAAAGTCAGCCAGCTGACTTCCATGCTAAGGTAAACACATGGTCTCCCAGTTTGCAGACTGGTGCCTTAATCATTAGAGTAAACTGGGTCTCTTATTCAGATTTTATACTACAGCAGTTTGATCCATTTATACAATACATATTAGGGTCAATATATTAGAATTCTTAAGGCAAAATCTTCTAAGGAAATCATTTAGTTAGTATACAGTTATTTTGTGTATCACATTTTTTATTTATTTAAATTGAAATATAAACTAAATAAACATTGAAAAACATTTAATTGATATTAAAAGGAATGCAAGTATTATGAAAGAAGGTATAAAAACCGTACAAGGTATTTTGGCAGTTTAATTAGATTCTATAAAATAGCTTTTCTTACCTTTTCTGGGGGAACTAAAAACTCATCTTTTATTTTACGCATTTCTTTTATATTTATTTTTGCAGTATTACCATAGTCAACATATTTAACTTCAACTTCTTGGTGTCCTGGCAATCCTTTGGGAGGGGAGGGGAATGAAATTAGAAAAGATTTAGACCTTGAAAGAAGTATGCTTATTTGAATGAAAAACTTCTGCAAAAGTGTGTTTATGTGCCATATTCTTTTCAGTTAGCCATCATCTTACTTCTGCTCCAAAGTTACATAAAAGAAAATGTCTCATTATCTATGTTACAATTCTCTTCCTGATTTTGATTAATGTTGGAAAATCCAAGAAAATCAGAACGTCTGTTACATATTCTTTTCTGGTATCAAAAATCAGCATTTGCTAGCTTGATTTGAATGAACATTTCACAATGTTATATTACCCTGAATGAATTTAACATTTTTAAAAATAGAATTGACATTATAGAAATTCATATTGGCATACTACCCTTCAATGCTTCTCCTGAAAACCAAAACCTGAAATCTATTTTCACATGAACAGAATGTAAGCTGTGGTTTGGGTTTTTTTCATGCAACTGCAAAACGGTGTTTACATAAACCAGAATATCAGGACCCAAAGTACCCAAGTTGGAAGCAAACATAAATCTGAGAAAAACCATAGCAAAATTTGCCATTGCTACAAGTGAACAAAGTTCACTGTACAGTTATGAAGTTAACTATAAAAAAGGTATTAACCTATAAGTCTTTATATTTATATGTTAATAACTTCATAATTTGAACCCTATAAAAATAGAAGTCCAAAGAAATCCAACGATCTCCAACGTTGAGGAGGTCTTGTACCAGACATATCTTTCAAAGTTGAACCCCTTAATCATTACATCAGTTATATGTTGCTCAGAAAATAATGTAGCTATTGATATATTTATGATGCAGTGTTGAAACAAATATATTATTGGACTACAATAATAACAATATTGGATAGATGTAATGTTCTACAACATTTAACTGGGGAAAAGTTTTTGAACTAGAGAGTGTTCAGAATAATTATGCATTCCAGATACTTACCAATCACCTGTGCTCTGTACCAAACACCATCATCTTTAAATTTGGCCACACATGGTTGGCCGTGGGTTGGACAAAGGATTTGCAAGTCGGGTCCTGCTTCATTTTCATACACTTCTTCAACTTTATTTAGAAAAGCTGCAAATTCGGGACCCTGTTCTAACTAACACAACAATAAAAAAATAATTCCTTCATGCTAACATTTGGCACTAATATATTAATTTGCACAATCATATTGCTTATTTTAGCTGAATTTGGTGGTACTGGAACTAATGCCACAGAAAGGGCTCAGAAAGATAAAAGGGTTAGCAAAGATGCAACTGATATAACCGAACATATTTTGGCCTTCAACACTGAATCTTTGCACTTTTTATTTTAAAAAAAGATTACTTTAAAACAGTTGTTATTCTGCCTGTCCTGTACAAATGCTGTACAAATACTGTACAAAGGCAGATAGATAACTCCACAAAGCATCCATACAAAGTCTCTTTTATTGTTTCATCAGGCGTCCTATCAACTCACAGTCTTATGACGAGGTTCTTCTTAATGTCCAATCCTTTGCATATCTGTCTTTATGGGTAAAAAGATGGTTATCTCTTTCATCCCATATCGTAGAGACAGGGGGTAGCTGCTACCACGAGGCTATGTGTTCAGGCAAGACTGAAGAAACCTCCTCTGACCCACCAAGGGTCAATTCAGTGACCAATCAGGGTTACAGATGTGGCCACATAACATGGACTACATTTCCCAGGATACCTTGACTACATTTACCATGATGCATTCCCTTAAGGGGACAGCTCTCAATTCCTAACTAACTATCCCAAATCCCATTAACTATAACTGTCTGGATAGTGCAGTTGTAATGTTTTATATTAATACTGAAAAAGTACCAATATAAACAAAAACATTAAGATTACAGGTAATCCTTGACTTATAATAGTGTCCTTTCGCAGTGATAACATCACTGAAAAAAGTGACTTCTTATTGTTTTTCCCACTTACAACCATTGTAGCATCCCCATGATCACTTGATCAGAATTTGGATGCTTGGCAACTGGTTCATATTTATGACGGTTGCAGTGTCCTGAGATCATGTGATCACCTTTGGTGGCCTTCTGATGAGCAAAGTCAATGGGGAAACCAGATTCATCCAACAACTGTGTTATTAACTTAACAACTGGAGTGATTCACTTGAAAACTGTGGCAAGAAAGGTCATAAAATGGGGTACAGTTCACTTAACTAATTCTCACTTAGCAACGGAAATTTTGAGGTCAATTGGGATCATAAGTCGGGGACTACATGTACTAACATGAACCCTAACATGAAAATGCAACACTTACCAGCTGAATGTAGAAGTCGCCAGGGCTATGAATGTAACTAACGACAGCAGCAACCTCCGTATTTTCACGTGGCATAACAGGTGGATAGTACTCCAGTGGTACAGTATTTTTTGACCAATCAGAAAATTCATTCTGAAAGCTAATAAGGTAAAGAGAGGAGAATAAACTGTTAATATGCAAGAGAAAGCAATCTGTAGTCCTGAATATGAAACACAGTTAAAATATAAAGCCTAGTTCTGAGAACAAATTACACAGAAAATCTATTCATACTCTCCTGACCTTTATTTTAACACGTTATAAATCTTAATGTATTCAAACTAGGGACACATTTGTTACTTTATGTCAATTCCCACCCTAAAAAGACAAAGAAGAAAAAAAAAACCCTCAAAGAATTCCCCTGACTTGGCTAAAATCTTTTTCCAGAATTTAATCCAAAATGTAGGCTAATTCACATTTTGATCAAATCTGTAAGTACATCTTACATTAATTTATCCAGTGTAATACATTCCATTGATTTCTATGGGAAAACTCAAAAGATGCCATTAGGAATATTCTGCAAATTCCATCGGCAACAATGGTATTATCTTATCCCTGCAATATAGAATTGCAGGAATCTATATATATAAAAGCGAAATACCACTCACGCATCATCACAAAATCTCCATAACCATAAAGCCTACAAACTTGAAATTTGGCATGTATGTTCCTCTTGGCTTCTAGGTCCTCACTAAGAAAGGATTTTTTGAAATGATCATCAGAGCGTTAGTATTTCGTCTATTATTATTAACACACTCTGATGCTAAGGAGTTCTACTTCCTCTCCCCATGCAGAAAAAAAAAATCTGTTCCAAATGCAAAACAGAGGAGTTTCAGTTTTACTTTCATAGCACCAAGCAGCTTTAGTACAGAGCAGATGAGCTAAGCCATGCCCAAGCTCCTTGCTATCTCCTTCTTGCTCACAGCAAATACTGCTTCAGTTTCCAAACAGACCTCAACTCTCTCACACACTGACAGGACGCTAGCCAGATGAATACCCATGGATGCTGGTAGGCAGAGGCAGAATTTTTCCCCTTATTTTTCTCCCCAGAAACTAAGCCCGACCACATAGTTTTGTAGCAAAGCACGGGTATAGCACTAGTTTGTAATATTTTTTAGGGATATTCTCCTAACATTGGGAGAGAAGACCCAGATCTTGTACTCTTCTTGGAAACTGATGAAAACCTACTCTCTTCCTTTCTCAAGACAAGCTGAGAAGTACACACAGTCCTGGAGTTACAAGTGTAATGGAGCCAGTCTATTACAGTTATAGGACATAATGGTAGTGAAATGGGTCGATCATGTGACTGACTTGATTTTATGACTTTTTTGTGGTGGTGGTGGTTAAGTAAGTGAGGCAGTAATAAGGGTTCACTGTGAGCGCAATTTTGCTGAAAATCAGTTTTCAGCAAAACCTTTGTAAAACATGGTCAGTTGTTTGTGGGAGGACCTAAATGCATCTGTGTTGCTGATTCCTCAAACTGTGATCATGTGACTGGGGGGGGGGTCAGGCATATTGGAACTCTGGATCCAGGCTGTAAGCCTCCTTTTTAAAGCAGGTTGCAACTCCGAACAGAAAATTTCAGGGGAGGAATAGAAATTTTATCCATTAAGACACAGTTTCTAATCAATCTATAAACTCAGAAGAAGCAAATATATTCCATGTTAAATCATATGTGAGGTAACTGAAGGTAAGTCTATTCAAAACATGCTTAACGTTGTACGTCTTTTTGCTATGATTTTAAAAAGTTATGCATACCTGGCTAAGTCCAAGAAAACTAGAGCATCTCTGAGGGACACAGGCATGTCACTCCTTATTTTGTTGGCCGGAGGCTTCATAAGATCTACAATAAGCACGCCATTTTCTTCTCTAAAAATTTTCATCAGAACCGCTTTGCTGTTTACCATTCTCAAAAATTCTGTCCGTGCTTTTCTTCCCCAACCTTTTTCCTGTTGTGGACAGAAATGCCAAACAATTCATTTCCGCCCCCTCAATCTTTTCCCTTCATTTCTTTCATTGTAAGTTAAACAGAGACACATTTTAAATAATTGCCTATGAAGGCAGCTTCAGTATAAGAGAAAAAAAAAATCAAATTTATCCCTAGAAAAAGTTATAAAACACAATGCATGGGAAACACCAACATAGTCTTGAGTAATGTGCAGTCTTAGATCTCTCCACTATTGCAAATCACAGGTTGTGATTGACTTATAACCACAACTGAGATCAGAAAATTAAACAGCACAGTTATCAAAGTATCGCACGACTGCTCCTGATTTTACAACCATTTTTGCAGTCATTAAGCAGGAGGTCATGTGATCGCGATTTGCAATCTTCCTTGATTTTTCCCCTCTGACTTTGCTTGTTGGAAGCTGGCTAGGAAGATTGGAAATTGCAATCACATGGCCACAGATTGCAAGAATTCACACTGGAAATGCGAATGGGTGCTTGAATCACGATTAAATGTCTTTTTGGGGTGGTGCAACAATTATAACTTTTTTCAGCACCATCGTAACTTTAATCTGCCATTATTAAATGAATGGTTGCTATCAAGGACTAACTGTAGAAGGTACTCTGTAGAACAACTTTTATTAAGAATACTCAATAACCTGAAATTTTCTGTTTTTTTTTTTTTTTTGCATTTAGCTAATTAAAACTTCATCAACCGAAGAAATCATGAAGTGAGATTTCCTAAGTTTGAAATTAGTCTTTTAATTTGGGTAATGAGATAGCAATAGCACTTAGATTTATATACTGCTTCACAGTACTTTATAGCCCTCTCTAAGTGATTTACAGAGTCAGCATATTGCCTCCAATATGAGACCTCGTTTTACTGACCTCAGAAGGATGGATGGCTGAATCAACCTTGAGCTAGTCAGAATCGAAAGGCATTCGGGAGAATTAGCCTGCAATACTGCATTCTAACCATTGCAACAGCATGGTTCATAAAATAAGCTGACAACTAGCAGTGAACTGGAGATAAAACTCCCAAATGCTCAATTCAGACATCATGTTCCATTATGATTTATATTAATCACAAAACTCGAACTACTGTTTAAGTTTGTAAGTATATCACAAATTATGCTTTATAGTTGCTCATTTCCTTCTATTTCTCTCCTCTTGGAATACTGTTTCAAACGAATATTTTCATTTCATTAGCACGTAGCTTCTAGAAGCATAATGGCTGTGAAATATGGTTTACCTCAAACCAAACCTTGGAAAATATTGCATACAGTATTCATAAACATTTGATTTAAAGGGAATCCTTCCAGAAGGCTCTGGAATATTAGGTATATTGGTTCCCCTCGATTCTGGACATCTCTGTCACTATCCTCATCTATACAACTATTGAAAACCGCTCTATAACTTTTATATAAAGAAGAAAATCAATAAGATGAAAGTGAGACTATAAAAAGGCATTTAAATAAAAACATGGAAAAAGGCAGCCAATATAATTCTCACTTACTGAATCCTTAGGAACAATGCCCTTTAGTGAACATTGTAGGGCTAGCTTACTTATACCTCTGAGCCGAGCCTCTAAAGATAAATCCATTTTTCTTACAACCAAACATAGATCTTCAATCATCATGTATTTAAGAGTAACATGTTTTGGATTCACAGTAACTTCATTGTGTACTCTGATGGCAGAAGAAAAAAAAACCCACATATGGTTTCATTGTGCAGTTTGGAATACCATTACATTAAGAGTTCATTTCCCAAATATTGATATGTATACTGTATACAAGAGTGTATGTGTATCACAAAACAAAAAAGATACAGATAGTCCTTTTCTTACTATGGCAATTGGGACTGGAATTTCCTTGCTAAGTGATGTGGTTCTAAAGCACTATCGCATTACTTAGCAACAGCAATCTCTTCAGTCTTGTTTGCCATCGTTGAACAAATGTCAGAAGACATTGCTTCATTCATGGCTGCAAAGACTGTTCTCCGGTATTCTAGCCAATTTGGGGCAATTATTTTATTTTCATTTTATTTTAGTTTTCTGAGCTTGTGTTAATTTTTATAAAGACTGTGATTTGTTGTTTCCCAAATTTTGAAAGCTATTGATTTCATTGCATAAGTCACAGACAGACTTTTGGCTATAGTGGAATACAAGCTAAAGATCAATCAGTTTATTACAGTCTTAGACCAGAGACCAGAACAAATAAAAATTCTCAGTAAATATACCATTAAAAATTCTAGTATCAAATAATAAATGACAACTAAAATCTATAATAAAATCCAGTCTGTCAATTATACATGATTTAGCTATACTAAAATTACAACCCATAAACTCTGTTGTCCGTTGTAGGTTCAACGCTAAAAGGGAAAAGACTAAGCAGTGCAAAGGGTTTGCCAGATTTGTTATATAACATAACTATGATGGAGAAGACACATTTGCAACGCATCCCCAGTCCTGTTGCGCAAAATCTGGCCATCTGCTCTGTAATTATGTGCTGTTAATCCTTAAGCAGCCACTGAAGATACTGTAGGTAGTATAGGAGCGGCCAGGATACCTAGCAGTGATTGGCAGAATATGGTTTTTTTTCCCTAATCTCTGTGTAAAGGAGCATCTAAGGAACATGTGACCCAAAGTCTCCACCTCTCCTGAGCCACAGGAACAGAGTACTTCCATAATGGTATCCTTAGCTAAATAAATAACGTAGAACAAGCTAACACTAATCCAATTAGAAAATAACCAGCGCATGAATAGTAGCTATCTGAAAGGACTATAAAACATCTGCCGAGATACTACTTTGGGAGTGTGACTATCTGGGTTCAATGTTCACTTTTTCCCAAAGCATTCCACAATCTGATTGAAATGGGAACCAATAAAGGAAAACTTGTAGAAGGGGAAAAAAAGACCTGGGTGTCATCTACTTACGTCCCTATTACCAAACTATCAAGCTGTGCAACAGGATAACCAATAACATCTCCTTATCATGCTCCAGCCAGAAATAAGATTTTAAAAATCAAACTCACTCTGAAGCATCTGGTGAAAACACCATTTACTAAATCACCTTGGGTAGAAATGATAATTTCAAAACCAGCTTATAATTTCACAAAAAAGTGTGTGTGTGGGGGGGGGGGGAATCTAAACAGGATAGAACACAAGTTATTTAAAATTATTCTACCTTGAAATAATTAAAGCTTCTGGATGCCCAAAGTCTATAAGGAATACTTTCATTATTGCAATATCACAAATTTTGTGTTTTGTCAGTCCATAGGGTTTCTCTTCGTTTGTATTCATGAGTGGAATTAATTCAATTATTTCTGCACGGCACCACATTCCATGTTCTTTGCTTTTAACCAAAATCCTTGTGCCTGAAATACATTAAATATCTTTAAATGCATTACTACTTTTAAGCATTCTTAAGAAAGGATATTTATAGAACTATTGAATGGTCTCACTCTTCAATCTTCAGCACTTAAAAATTTGTCTGAAAGTAAGAGCAGAGGCTTTACTTTCAAGACAGTACTCAGGGCTGCAAAACTCTGGCTAGTCATAAGATGGCAGCAAAATTCCACTAATAAACCATGCTATTAGCATAAGGCAGTGGTCACAACCAGTGGGCCGGGGACCACTGGTGGTCCGCGAGAAAATTTTGGTGGTACGCAGAGAAATGTTACCCCCAAAGCACATACCAAAGCAATTAATTCAGGCCGCGCAGGAACACAAGGCTGCATAGCCCACATGGCCTGCGGGAACACAAGGCTTGTGTCGCTTGCATTGTGAACAACATGAGGTAGTGAGGGGAGGGGGGAAAGGGCAGAGGGGGAGAACTTACCCCCACTCATCCCATGTGCCTGGCCTGCTTCTTTCTTTTGCTTTTGGCCGCATGCAAGGAAAGCAGCAAACGTCTTTCTTTCCTTCCCCCAAACTCCGCCAGAAATGAGTCTTTGGGACCCCGCAAGGCATCCGGCTCTAAGAGGGATGACAAGTCTCACAAAGACTCATTTCTGGCAGAGTTTGGGAAAAAGAAAGAAAGACTTGCTGCTTCTGCTTCTTGCATGAAGCCAAAAGTCTCTCTCCCATACCCCGAGAACAGAGCTGGAGACGGTATCCCGGAATCCTAAATAAAGAATGATTGATCGGTAGGAAAACAGGGTGGGGAATTTTCCTGCAGACTTTTTAGGGGATTTTCCCAGGGTCTTTGCTGCTTTTTGGGTCAACATGCCATCATCAGTCAAAATTCATATTAGTGGTCTGCAGGATTTAAAATTATGGGTTTGGTGGTCCCTGAGGTCCAAAAGGTTGGCGACCCCCGGCATAAGGTTTTACTAAAGAAATGCATCTGTACAACTAGTTCACAATCATTTTTCCAATTTCAAAATAAATGAAGTAACTCCAAACAAAATCTGAATACAATACCCACGAAGAAACACATAATAAAACTTGAGAATTAGAAGGTAGTTTAGTAAAACCCATAGGGAGCAATGGGTCAACAGTTAAAGATGCTCAGCTTGTTACTGGAAAGCTGACAGACCCAGGCGCTATGTGATGGGGTAAGTTCCCATTACTTGCCTCAGGGTCCTATCCACCCAGCAGTTCGAAAGCATGCAAATGGAAGTAGACAAATAGATACCACTTCAGTGGAAGATAGCAATGTTTTGTGTGTCTCAACATGTAGTCATGCTGGCCACATAACCACAGAAGTTTCTTTGAGCAACGCTGACTCCCTTGGCTAAGAAACAGAGATGAGTAACACCCACTAGGGTTGAACATAATTGGACAGGAGAAATGTTTACCTTTACCAAAACCCACGTAAGTTCATTTTCACAAAAGTTTTAAAAAATTCTGAAATTATAACTTATCTGCAATTAAAGGAATGTTGTTACCTAGTTCCAAAACGTCAGTAGGAGACAAATAGTTATTCCTACAATAGTATTTCAAAACTTTTTCCAAATAGATCGCAGTTTTCTTTTGGGAAACTTTCCGAACATAGAAATGACATGGATTTATTACACAACTGACAATAACATATTCAGGATCTTCTGTGTAAATAGAATATAAATTGAATGAATAAAATCAAATTAATAAGTAAAATCAAATTATTTTATTTATTTTATTTGCCATATATCTCACCATGGATTAGGCGATTTACAATAATAAAAACAAAGAAATGAAACAGAAGCAAAATAATAGAACAATAAAATAAAAAATGAAAAAGAAAATAACATGAATACATCAATATGATAATGAAATAAAGGGTCCATTAAGTAATTAGCAAACTACATTTCTATACAGAATGAACGAAATTGCAAAAAGACATTTACTTGAAAACAGCAGCATCTGGCTGAACAGTTAACTGTTTTATTATTAATCATAATCTATTTTCATCTGTCAATAATAGCTACGTTACATTTAAAATATTAAGAGTCAATACACTTGAGTACTCCAAATTAAGCACTGTTTTACAATCAGTTGTTATGAGAAAAGTGTATGCCTATTCCATAAACTTCCTCTTATACACTTGATCTACATCTTCAAAGTTACTGTTTAAAAAAAGGGGATGGGAGCATTTCTTTCTACATTTCAAAGATCAAACTATTCAACCAATCATTCTGTCATTTTATTTTGCCAGATCACAGTTACATACCAGTCTTTAATTCAAATGGGACCTGAGGTGCTTGGAGGAAACTCTTCTGATATGTAGATTTGCTATATTCTGCAGAAAATGCTTGGGGGGGGGGGGGAGAGGGGAAACACAGATACATTTAATCAACTCCATATGTGAATATTATTCACCTGGAACATTGACTGATTATACAGAACTGATTATACAACGGAGACTCCATGACTAGCCTTCTAAAGCTTCTAAAGTTCAGGAGTCAAGCTTATAGTTTTCCATTTTGCCCTAAGAAGTCTATTCTACGAAATCCCAGGAATCACGAGGAATGGCATCTGCTGGGATTGTGGGTGTTAAAACCAGCGAGACCGTGGAGGAAACCACCTGGCCTTTTTTGACAGACCCTTCAATGTATGAAAGTGGCAGAATGGGACAATTTGCTCCTCACTGCCTTCACCTCGCCTGGCTAACTTGCTGTGGAGATAATTCGCCACAAGCTGGGCCTTCCTCTCTAGTTTCCGAAGCCAGGTTTAAGAGAGGAGAAACCGGCTCACACTCCTTCTCTGAAGGCTTCCTTACCTTGTTTTCCAGTGCACCCCCCTCCAATGAAAGACGTGCTAGCTGGAATCATTTTACACACACACACACACACACAAATTATGAGTTTGGGGACATTTATCTGCATCCCAGCCAGCAAGCTGTCAATTGTGCCTGGGCCTGGGGAGAAGGATCACTTCTTCGGTGTGTTGCACCGGACCTCGATGGCTCCCAGGCAAGGAGGACACCAAGCAGGGTCAGTAAAAGGCGACTTAGCTTGGAACAAGGTTAGTCCTCCTTTTGTGGAGGGAGGATGGAAAATGAGGTGAGGAAGCCTTTGGAAAAGGAGTGCAGGTGGGCTATAGGGAAGTCACTGTTCTGGGCTGGATGATTCACTGGGAACAGCCTTCGTGGCAATGGCCATCAGGAGTGAGTTGCCCTATCATCACCCCTCCCTGCTTACCCATCTCCCTGCCCGGGAACTGTCAGGGTCCAGCACAACAGGCTGAAGGAGAGGTTCCTCTCCTTAAGCCTGGGTGGAACTGGCAGCCTGCAGATAAAAGTCCCCAAGCGCAGAATGGTGTGCGTACATACACGTGCACAGAACAATGACTCTTGCTTAGCCCGTGTTTCAAATGGGAATTGGAAAGCGAGGCAAGGAAGCCTTCAGAGAAGGAATGCGGGTGGTGGGAACTTTCACCTTGCTTAAGCTGGCCCAGCTTTGGAAACCAGAGCGCAAGGCGGCGGTGGCAAGGTTGCAGCGGTGAGTTGTCACAGCCCCTGCCACTGGCTGCTAACTTCTGGATCACAGTCCATGGAGTTTAACACACTTCTAAGGCTGAGTGTTAGCTAATCCATACACTTTTTATAAGATGGTTATGACCATGTTTTTAATTTGTTTTGATTACATCAGTCTCCAAACACTTAAACATCAGAAAGATTTGCTTATATCCGATTTAAATACTACTGTTTATAGAAATTTCAACATCATTGTCTAAGAAGTCACTTCTTGTGAAATGGGCAGCCATATAATAAATATAATAAAAAATAAATATAGCGTATTACAAAAAGGGATACAACATCTGGTGTTTGCTCTGCTACTGGCAAAGCACTCTCTCTGTGTGTGTGTGTGTGTGTGTGTGTGTGTGAGAGAGAGAGAGAGAGAGAGAGAATGATCCATCTTATGCATTTTTAAAACAGTATAAACACTTTGAAAGAGAAAGAATATTATAGCTGTAACAAATTATATAAAGAGCTTTAGAGGGGGTTTAAAGCCTCTACTTACTTTCTTGATCATCTTCAATTATTTCTTCAATGATAACATCTGGTGTAGATGTGGCCTGAGATAATGCAGCAGTTTGTTTCTGAATGGATAATGAACTCATTTCTTGCTGATGGGAGCCTCCAAAACATACATCAGATTCTTCCGAAGGAATTACATCGACTTCTTTAACAAGATTTACATTTACTTGATGTGAAGTACCAAGTTCGTTATTCATTTTTAGAGAGCTCTCTTCAAAGTTGTACCTAAATTGACCAATTATTCATTGAATACTGTTTGTTCATTGAACATACCATTAGCATGAAAGATCAAATAAACAACAAAAAAGGCCTTTGACTTTAAGAAGCATCTTTAAATTCCATTAAACCTGAAGGCTAAATATATCCTCTAGTATTTTTTTTTTCAATCCCAGAACACTTTGAGATTTCTTCACCAAATTCCTATAGCAAAATCACTGATTTTGCTGGTCCTGTAAATATCAAAGATCTCATAATTGCTACTAATTGGAATTATGCCAAAACCCACTGAAAATCAGCAAGATATATATATATATATATATATTGATCCTAACAGAAAATTTCACTTGCCTGTATCTGTCAACCAAACTGTTCATTTTGTTCCAGATGCCTGTGCACAGTATTTAATAATGAAAATATTTCTAAATAAAGTTCATTGACAGCTTGATCAAAAATACAAATGCAATTTGTAATTACTATCCTCAAAATAACCAGAAATCTTATTTCTGATTGGAACAAGTTGGCTGTTTTCACATTACAGGTAAAATTTCCCTTAAGTTGAGTTTTAATATTTTTCTTTTTTCAACAAATAGGGGCCGTTTCCATTCCTTTCTTCCAAAGGTTTTTTTAAACCAATTTATTTATTTCTACAACTTTAATACCTAAAGCCTTGGAATTTTCCTATGTGCTTCAAACCAAAAACTAACCCTAGTTATCTTTTATTTTTAAGATCAGCCATGCATGCTTAGATGTTGTTTCCAGTTTATTTCCTTTTCTTGGTATTTGTTCTTTATACCCATGAGTGTCACAACAGAAGATATTTTGAACGATTCTAAGGTAGCTGAACAAAACCATTGTGTTTCAAATACACACAAAATACTTACACATTTGAGGCATCATAGGAAAATTTACCTATGTTTTCAAACATTTGGTTTACCTCACCACAGTCCATGTAAAACCTGCATTAGAAATATATAATCCATATTACAAATATATTTTCTGGACACAATTTTAAGCATATAATTGAGTTTTTAGCCCTTAATTGATTACTCCAAACTGATACACAACAGAATAGTTTCATTAGTGGAATGAATATTAAAGAGAATTAGTTTTAAAACTGGAGGCGGGGGGGGGGACGGGGACATCAATAGCATGCACTATGCTAGCACCACTATCCTGACAGCCAAAACTACGAAGGATCTGGAAGTTTTAGCCCTAAAAGTCAAAAAGCACAGTGAAAAAATAGGACTAAAATTAAATATAAAGCAGCAAAACTAATGACAAAAGGTACTGAATGGTGTTATAACTTCCACCTTTTAGGATCAACCATCAATAGTAAAGAAACAAGCAGTCAAAAAATACACTGCAGACTAGCACTTAAGTACAGCAGATATGAGGCTTTGGAAAAAATAATCAAATGCCATGATCTATCTGTATCTATAATGATCAGAATCATGCAATCAAACAAAAATTGGACTTTAAAAAGCAAGACAGAAAAAGTACTGACACCTTTAAACTTTGGTGTTGGAAGACTCATGAGAATACCATGGACAGCCAAGAAAATAAACTGATGGACCATTGAACAAATAAGTCCAGACTTTTCAGTCAAGGCACAAATAACCAACCTCAAATTATTCCGTATTTCAGATACATTGTATGTAGACCTAGCTCTCCAAAAAGTTTGTAATGCTGAGAAAGATGGAACGGAAGAAGAGAATGATTAGCAGTAAGGTGGATGAACTCAGTTTCAGTGGTGATGAATGCACCATTGGAAGTATTGAAAGAACAAGTTAGTGCTAGTCATCATGGACAAAATTTGTCTACAGGGCCATTTGAAGATGAAAATGACTCAATGGCACATAATCAGTTAGCGAATCTTGAATTCAGTTAGTGAATCATGAATTATAGTTATCATGCAAATCTAGTAATTTGTGGCTTATTATTTGCTATTAAATAACAGTTAAGACCATAGTGTCAATCGAGCCTTTGAAACATCTTTTATGACTTCAATATGATCTTAATTTGGCTTTGTTGGTATGATAGGCTTTATTTTAAATGTACAATCTTTACCATTCTTAAGGTGCAATTTTGGTTTACTCCGAAGACTGCATATTTGAAATTATTTGACCTTATTTTCAATAAATTACTTGGATGTAGTCATACTAGCAACTATAATTTATTACACAAAAATTAATGTGCTAAAACCTCTAGTTTTTCAGAAGCGTACCTTGGAAGTGTTCTTTTTTTCAGATTATCTAATTTTAAGACTTCTTCTTCAACTGATACATTTAAGTTGCAAAGTGCCTTAAAGAATAAGGAATCCTTATTCAATTTTCAATACACTATAACAAGCGGTTATGTAGACAGTACACAATTTAGAATAGAGTGCCACAATTCCTATTTTACCTTATATTCGTTTTACACTGATAATTATTCATATACATACACACAGAATATATGTAACGGAGCATTAAAGATCAAAGCCTAAGCTAAAATACATTGCTCAAAAAAAAAAAGAGAACACAAAAATAAGACATCCTAGATCTGAATGAATGAAATATTCTTATTAAATACTTTGTTCATTACATAGTTGAATGTGCTGACAACAAAATCACACAAAAATTATCAATGGAAATCAAATTTACCAACCCATGGAGGTCTGGATTTGGAGTTACACTCAAAATTAAAGTGGAAAAAAACACTACAGGCTGATCCAACTTCAACGTAATGTCCTTCAAACAAGTCAAAATGAGGCTCAGTAGTGTGTGGCCTCCACGTGCCTGTATGACTTCCCTACAACGCCTGGGCATGCTCCTGATGAGGTGGCGGATGGTCTCCTGAGGGATCTCCTCCCACACCTGAACTAAAGCATCCCCCAACTCCTGGACAGTCTGTGGTGCAACGTGGCGTTGGTGGATGGAGCGAGACATGTTCCAGATGTGCCCAATTGGATTCAGGTCTGGGGAATGGGCGGGCCAGTCCATAGCATCAATGCCTTCGTCTTGCAGGATAGGAAAGCATAGGAACTGAGAAGTGGTCTGTGGTCACCACCTGCAGAACCACTCCTTTATTGGGTATGTCTTGTTAACTGCCTATGCTTTCCACCTGTTGTCTATTTCATTTGCACAACAGCATGTGAAATTGATTGTCAATCAGTATTGCTATTTAAGTGGACAGTTTGATTTCACAGAAGTGTGATTAACTTGGAGTTACATTGTGTTGTTTAAGTGTTCCCTTTATTTTTTTGAGCAGTGTAGTTTTATAAACTTAAAAACAAGTAAGTTCATTTCTGTAATTGGAATTAGTTTGTTACTGTATGAATATAGAACATATATGCATTTATTTTTATGACCAATTTTAATTAATTAAATTTGGAATCATTTGCATTTTATCCCTTAGATTAGAATTCTAAAACAATAAAATTAATACAACTAGTTCTGATGTCTATTTCAATTGCATTATTTTGTTATATGTTATAGTTTATTTTACTGTTGAAATTACCTTTACAGAAACCCTTAAAATGCATTTCTGATTACTAAAGGCATAGATTACATTAATGAAAATCCCAACCAGAAAGAAATACAATACATAGTTTAAGTTACCTGATTTAAGCTGTGGCAGGATTCTAATGAATGAGTTGTTGTCAGCTCCTTTGCTTTTTTTATGGCATCAATCAAATTGCTTCTTTTCTGTGTAACAGCAACCTGAATGCTATGTATATCAGTTACATAGTAACTGGTGTTCATTACCAACTCTGCTTCAATCTTCCTTTTCCTGATTAGAAACAAATAGATTAGAAAAAATGGTCATATCCTACAAAAATTCCACATAATTTGAGCATCTCAGTACGTAACTATATAGCATAGAAAACCAACATTATCCCATTTAAAAACAAAGTTCTAAATTAATAGTCACAAAATATCATAAATCTGTTTATCATAAACTCACATTTCTCTGAAAGATAAATAAAACTGAAATACAGTAGCTTAAAATTTGAAGGAATGCTTCAAAAACCAACATTTTGATAAAGAGTTTAAAAATAATTTTATTTTTGAATTAGGTGAAAGCATAACAATTATCCCAAGCTAACAAATCATAGTATTAGAACAGGAATTATAACCTTAACAAATCAAGGAATAATAAATAAAAAAGGGAAGTAGAAAAGGAAAAATGGAAGATAGAGATTTTGTAGTATTTGTTTCCCTTTGCTGAAACAAACACAAAGAGTAAACAATTTCAATAAATTATCCTTTTCCATAATTTAGCATAAAGTTAATTCATACAGAAATATGTACTGTAGAATTCAGACAAAATCAGTTTTATAATTTTAGTCATGTTACCTTGAGTTAAGAGAAGCCATACAATCAGTAAACTTGGCAGTGATAACATCTGCAATCTTGCTTTCTTCCTGTTTTGTTTTGGTAATCAACTGTTGAAGTAGCTTATTCATTTAAAAAAATAATTAAAAACATATACACACGTGCACACATTGTCGACAGAATTTAAAAGCAATATAAGACTAGAATAACAAAAGCAATTCAAAATTAATATTTCCATTCTGTTCTTCCAAATTCTTTAGAGATAGATTTTAATAACAGAATTTTGTCTGATATTATTTATTCAATGCAGCTTTAACAGTTATAGTAATTAAATATTTCAAAAAAAAAAGAAATACAATAAAAGTTCCACAGGTTTTCAAGATTTTGAATTTGCAAAAATATCCAATGGTCAAAGAGAAAGTCAATAGGAATGCAATGCCACTGAAATCTAGTCACCACTCCTAATTAACATAATTGAAATGTTCAGTGTGGTGCTTCCAAGAAATATAATTATGTACAGGTAAAACTCAAAAAATTAGAATATCATGCAAAAGTTCATTTATTTCAGTAATGCAACTTAAAAAGTAAAACTAATATATGAGATAGACTTATTACATGCAAAGCAAGATAGTTCAAGCTGTGATTTGTCATAATTGTGATGATTATGACTTAACAGTTCATGAAAACCCCAAATCCACCACCGCAGAAAATTAGAATATTACATGCTATCAATAAAACAAGGATTGTACATAGAACAATATCGGACTTCTGAAAAGTATAAGCACGCATATGTACTCAGTACTTGGTTTAGGCCCCTTTTGCAGCAATTACTGCCTCAATGCAGCGTGGCATGGAAGCTATCAGCCTGTGGCACTGCTGAGGTGTTATGGAAGACCAGGATGCTTCAATAGCGGCCTTCAGCTCTTCTGCATTGTTCGGGCTCATGTCTCTCATCTTTCTCTTGGCAATGCCCCATAGATTCTCCATGGGGTTCAGGGCAGGCGAGTTTGCTGGCTAATCAAGCACAGTAATCCCATGATCATTGAACCAGGTTTTGGTGCTTTTGGCAGTGTGGGCAGGTGCCAAGTTCTGCTGGAAAATGAAGTCAGCATCCCCATAAAGCTCGTCTGCAGGAGGAAGCATGAAGTACTTCAAAATCTCCTGGTAGATGGTTGCATTGACCCTGGACTTAATGAAGCACAGTGGACCAATACCAGCAGATGACATGGCTCCCCAAATCAACACAGACTGTGGAAATTTCACACTGGACTTCAAGCATCTTGAAGTGTGTGCCTCTCCATTCTTCTTCCAGACTCTGGGTTCTTGGTTTCCAAATGAGATGCAAAAGTTGCTCTCATCAGAAAAGAGGACTTTGGACCACTGAGCAACAGACCACTTCTGTTTTTCTTTAACCCAGATAAGATGCTTCTGAGGTTTGTTCTTCAGGAGCGGCTTGACAAGAGGAATACAACATTTGAAGCCCATGTCCAGGATCCGTCTGTGTGTGGTGGTTCTTGATGCACTGACTCCAGCCTCAGTCCACTCCTTGTGAAAGTCCCCAACACTTTTGAATGGCCTTTTCCTGACAATCCTCTCCAGGCTGCGATCATCCCTGCTGCTTGTGCACCTTTTTCTTCCACACTTTTCCCTTCCACATAACTTTCTATTAATGTGCTTTGATACAGCACTTTGGGAACATCCAACTTCGTTTGCAATTACTTTTTGAGGCTTTCCCTCCTTATGGAGAGTGTCAGTGATGGTTTTCTGCACAACTGTCAGGTCAGCAGTCCTTCCCATGATTGTGATTCCTACTGAACCTGACTGAGAGACCCTTTAAAGGCTCAGGAACCCTTTGCAGGTGTTATGGCTTAATTAGCTGATTAGAGTGAGACACTTTGAGCCTAGAATATTGAACCTTTTCACAATATTTTAATTTTCTGAGATTGTGGATTTGGGGTTTTCATGAGCTGTAAGCCATAATCATCGCAATTATGACAAATCACAGCTTGAATTATCTTGCTTTGCATGTAATGAGTCTATCTCATATAATAGGTTCACCTTTTAAGTTGCATTACTGAAATAAATGAACTTTTGCATGATATTCTAATTTTTTGAGTTTCACCTGTATAAATAAACACACACATAAAGCACCACTTCCAATGCACTTTCAGTAATGTAAAATTTAACAGCAGTACTTATTTTAAATGCAGAAAGCCATTATCAACTCATAGTTTTATTCAAATTTGTATGTGTGAAACATTCTGATCTTCTGAGGAAAGCAATACATTTAATGTTCTGGATTCAGGAAGTTCAGGAAAAACAACAGAACATTTTATTTAAAGGGTTCCATCACAAGAAGCTGCAGGAATTTAATACAAACACAAACCTTTAGCCCCTTGTTTTTGTCTACAGCCAACCAACAAAGATACCTCACTAAATGACATTAAATTCTACCTATCATCCAATCTGTTGAAAAATGAGCCAAAGCAAGCATTATATACTTCTTATAGCTTGCCTGCACAGTATTTACTTTTTAAGAAAATCATTTTTATCCATTTTTTTAATCTAGAAGAGTGTGAAAACACCACCTGGCTACCAGAAAAAAGCATTATGGTTGTATGGTTAAACTAGATAAACTTCCTAGAGTCCACCTGGTTTCAGATGGTCAAAATTTATACACAAGCAAAAGTCATATAATGCGCCAGATTCACTATCATGTTTGACAGATGGTCCAGCCTGTTTGAAGATGCCTGTTTGGGGCATAGAACATAGAAATTATTTAGACGCCCTCTTTTATGTGACATTTGAAGATTGCTCCTATATCCTATATCACTCTTCCATGCATGCTAAACATACTCAGATCCTTTAACAATTCCTTGAATGACTTAGTTCCAGAGCCAACATTATCTTGATAGCTCCTTCTCCAATTTGTCATTTTTCTGTGTCAAAATTGGACATAATATACCACGAGGACATAACTAGAGCAGAATAAACTAGAACAATTATTTCCTGTGATCAGGACTTTGTTATTTTATTAACACATCTGAGGATATTATTTGCATTTTCAGCATCTGCAAGACACTCCATTCTGTGCTTGTAATTCTATTTTTCTTCTCAAATACAGAACTTTATGTTAAATTCCATCCTATTCATTTCAGTTCATGGCTCAATCATGTTGAAATCTTTTGGAATTTTCCCTGTCTGGTTTACAGTATTAACTAATTTTCCCAACTCTTATCAAATACAAACTTGATAAATATCCCCTCAAATCTTTCATCCAAGTCACTAATAGAAATGTTGAAGAATACATGGCCCAGGAAAGAGCCCTCTGGCACCTGCTATTTTCTGCAAAGATGAGATGAAACTATTAACAAGAATTCTTTGAGTGCTGTCATTCAGGTAACTGTGAGTGGCATCATTGAGCCATGTTACCACTTCATTAAGAACTTCTAGCAAATCCTCGTCATAATAAGAGAAGACAAAATTTGCTGTACTCTGATTTCTGGCAAAGTTAGATTCTCAGAAGTTGCCTGGAGAATTGAAATTTTCCATTGTTATTATTGATAGGTTTTTTCCCCTAAGATTGGTCCCGAAGACTGATCATCTGACATAAAAAGCTTGCAGTTGTATCTTCCCTAGGGCTGACCTAGTAATATCACCTCTGAAGTTTAGTTACCATCAAAAGTTGAAGCAGTATTTTCAAGTTTTTTAGAAAAAGGAAATTTTCAATTCCCAGAATTGTTGTGAGATAATACCTTAGTTTAGTTAGTCTACCTACCTCTTCTAAAACCTTTAAATGCTCAAGGTTGTTTTTAGCCTTGATGGCGGCTTTTTCTATGTCTTGCAGAATTTTGCTGTCCTAAGAGGAGTCAAAGGGAAATAGTTAGAAGTGTGTTATTTTAGAACTCTATTCATCCATCCATCAAATTTATATATCTCACAACAAGTGAAAGAATAGACTGCCGGGCTTTTTCTTTCTAACTATAGGGAGTATTCCACTAAAAGGCTAAACAAGTTCCGTGTTTCTCATATAATAAGGCCGGGTCTTATTTTTTTTGAGCCCCGAAAAAATGGCTAGGCTGTCTTTTCAGGGGTGACTTAATTCCCCCCTCCCTTGCATCTTTGGGTGGGCGGATGGCGATGGCTTGGATGTTGACCTCAGCATTGGTGAGGCACTTCGTATCGGGGTCAATGCAGGCAGCACCATTTCCGGGTGTGCAACAAAAGTACTTCCTAACGGCAAGCCCCCCCACCATTCCCCCCCATTTCGCATGTTTTAATATATGCCTTAATTTGGGGGGAGGGGCTTAATTTCATTTCATGACTATAAAACATGCTGGGACTTCCTATTGGGGGAGGCCGTATTGTTGGAGAAACAGGGTACTTTTTCTTAAGTCTATTAATTATTCAACATATTCTTATGCACTAATTTTAGCACATAATGTTTAAAAGACTTAATACTTACAATGGCCTATTAAGAACACTGTCATTACATTTTCCACAGGTTTGGTTTGAAACACATTATTAAGCTTCAATTCCATATCTACCACTTTAGGAAAAAGCCTTGTTATACTTAAAAATGGAACTAGAGTAAAACCTGTTTATGTCTCAATTGAAGGGAAAAGCCATATGACCCTTCAACCCAAATTTATGTAATTGCCATGCATTAAAATGTATGCAAAATCACATTCTATGTTTTCCTTTATATCTAAAATCTATTAAATGAGGATCAGTAAAATAGAAATTTTATCACACTTTCAAATAATAAATATGACAGATCCTATAGCATCCAGAATCAGAGTATCTTTCAGATATGCTCTAAGACAGGGGTCGCCAACCTTTTGGACCTCAGGGTCCAAACTCATAATTTGAAATCCTGGGGACCACTAATGGGTTCTGTGGGTGTGGCCTAATTTATGGGTGTGGCTTGGTAGTCATGTGACTGGCTGGGCATGGCCTGTATGTAAATATTATAAATATTTATATAAATATTGAATTTTTTATAAAAAAGAGCAACTTTTGCCCAAAATCAGGCAAAGCAGGCAGGCAGATTGAGTTGCTCACAGAATCACAGATTCACTTAGAGATTTGTGATTCTGCCATCGGCTACCTGAGCCTGTCACATAAAATTTGCTTGCAAGCAAACTCATAACATTTGCTAGCAAGCAAACTCACAAAATTAACTCACAACACACCATGTATGTAAATATTGAATTTTTTATTAAAAAAAAGAGCAACGTTTACCCAAAATCAGGCAAAGCAGGCAGGCAGATTGAATTGCTCACAGAATCAGATTCACTTAGAGATCTGTGTTTCTGCCATCGGCTATCTGAGTCTGCAGTGTTTCAGTCCTAAGGAGGTTCAGTTGTGCTTAAAAGCAGAGCTGAAGATCTAAAGATTAGCTAGAAAGCAAGAAATCCAACCATTTCCTGCTTTCTAACTAATCTAAATCTCCCGACACAGCAGAACAGCTGATGATCGAAAAAAGGTTAAATAGCAATTTAGCCAGCAAGTTTGCTGGGTAAGGAGTGGGGTGGGGAGGGTTCCCGCAGGCCATGTGGGCAGCGCAGCCTTGTTCCCCCACAGCCTAGATTAATTGCTTTGCAGGGGTGCTCTGGGGGGTGAGATTTCTCTGCGGACCACCAAAATTTTCTCGTGGCCCACCGGTTGGCGACCACTGCTCTAAGACACCTTCATAATATTCACTTTGAAAGTATGACTCATTGTCATAGACTCAGGTGTATCTGCACCTAAAACTCAAAGACAAAACCATCTTGGTATTTTATAAAATCAGCATTTCTAGTTGCTGGTTAACATGCTCTTTAATAAATAGAAATAAAGCAAAATTAGATTGTTCACGTACCATACTGACTGTAGATGCCTTCAAAAGTAATTGATGAACTGTAGTCCAACTGGGTTGTGTACTTTCTTAATGCTGCAACTATAACTGTTAATCCTATAAAGTAAAATCAAGCTATATTTTTACATTTTCTTGAATGGCTGCACTTGCCTGAATGCTTACTAAAAATGGATAAATTGAGAAACGTTAAGGCATGCAAAGTAATTTAAAAAAAATTAGGAGCATGCCAACAATGACTAAGTATTGGTCAAAAAAGTGGGATACCTTACATAAAAGCCTGCTTCTACTCATTTTGTCACATGGAGGTAAAAGTGGGAAATGTTATTTTTCAGCCAGTGGTATTCTTAAAAGTATATATTTATGGAAAATAAGAGATGATCAAAAATGAATAAAACATAAATGTGGACTACATTTATTAATTGCATACAACTATGCAATTAGTAATACAAGTATATTTATATGGTTTCTCAAGTAGAAAGAATGAATGAAAATCAAATTGTAAAATGAGTGTATAAAGACCAGATCAGTTGAGAGGAAAAGAAAGATGAATTTTAAAAACAAAAGATTCTCTGAATGGGCAGAGGGAAATGGGGGAAGATGTATTATCTGCAAGGACAGAAAAGTATTAAAAACTATAGTGAATGGTACTGGTGAAAAACAAAACGGAAATCTTATCTCCTGCCTCCAATTTCTTTTGCTTACTATTTTCTTTCTTTTCTGCACTTTGTATAACACTACTGATCCTAAAGGAATATGTTATGCCTATATCATTCTTAATAGTTGGGTCCACATATCACATTGCTCCAAAAATGCAACTGGTCTGGTTTCAATTGTGGATGTTGTATATATCTGCCACCATTAAAAATAATGTGGTTCAGTACAATGTGTCTTCCCCATTTTGCTTCTCATTAATCTCATCATTCAAAATTCTTTCTCCAAACAAAACCAACCATAGCAAGCCCTGCATTCAACACACTTAATGTAGCCCACAAAATCCTAACTGCTCCTGTACTCTAAGGACCTTTCATTTTTTCCAGCGCCTATTCCAGTCTATGTCAATTTTTTCCCACATATATCAAATTCTTATGTTTATGCAAACTAAAATGAACTTTTTTCAAAATATAAAGCCACCTAAAGTTAAAAAAACCTCAATCAGTAAAACATTTTTATAAAACTTTAAGAATGTTGCATAAAAATGCTTCATTTCAGTTTAACACAAGGACCGTGTGCTTTGCGTTGTACTGCTCTGAATGCAGCTCTCAGTATCTTAAAACTTTTCTCTCTAAAGTGAAACTTCTGAAGAGATGAGCAAAACCTACAACGAAGTGGACAACGCTGTTGTTGTTTTTTAAGAGCTGGGATGAGTCGTCTCAGTTCTTTAATATTCAATTAAAGAGCATGGTGCATCTCAGCCCCAAATCAAACGTCCTCTAAAATATGCTGTAGTTTTAGCTCCGGTGCAGCATGTTCAATAACAACTTCCATCATCCACAGCCAGCATTGTTGTCGCACCGGACAATAAGCAATTTCAACTGAAATTGGGCTCTGTGAGATATGTCCGAAGAAATACGCATTCTTAGGTCAAATCGCCGCACCTGGCCAAACTCGTGGCCACCACACGGAGCGCAACTCCCGCGAGGAAGGAAAGGGGAATGACTGGCTGAGACCAGGCAGGGCTCCATCTTTCCTGGGTTAACGAATGAGACGACGGGGAAAGCAAAAAGGGCTCCACTCACACACCCCCAAAATTGAAGCGAGACAGCATAAGGGAACTCCTCACCCCTTTCCTAAGCCCAGCTCAACCAAGAGCCGGTATCACCCTCCCACAGCTTATTTAATAGCTCCTTTAATTTCTCTAATGATCTCATTTAATATCTAAGCCTTATTGCATAAAACAATTTCTAGACCTGCTGACGCAAACATAAGCTTCACCAAGGAAAACCAGGATTGTAACTCAGTTGAGCACGTTCGCACGATGGCAATTCGAAGCACCCGATAAACAAGCCAACCGGCCGACCTGACCCAGCGCGCAACTCCCTAAGGACCCACCCAGGGAACTGCAAGGACACCCAAATTTTTCCAAACTCTGAACTCCAGGGAATTAACACCCCCACGTTACAAGATAACATTTTTGGAGAATCTGCCGCCTGGCCTGGTCCTGCGCGTGTTTGTGGAACTTGTTTCCCTGTTGCAACCCCTGTACACGGGCTCGCTTAGCAGTTGCGTCCTAGCCTTAAGCATTTGGTATTGCTGTTGGTGCTGCAAACTTTTAACTTCTCCTTTGGGAGATCGGCCTCCAAGCAACAACAGCGTGCTTGGTGCTTTCCCTTGCTTCCTCTTGTTGAAAACCGCCCGCACTGCACAGCAAGACGGGCAACCCCGGTGTGCCCGCACATCACCTGCGGAAGCGCTCAAGGGAGCCCCGTTGAGTTAGTATTCCGTTCTGCCGGCGCCCCTCGAAGCGAGTTTTCCGCCGAGACTTATCTGCCTTCCTGAAAACCGGAAAATGGCGCCATTTTTTTACTTGAGTTCCTACATTTTATCCATCCCCAAATTACCACAGTATTGAGCTAATTAACCTACCGAACTAACGAACAGCCACTAATCCCCCTCCCCGTTTTCCCTTATTTCTTTGCTTTTTCTTGCGTGACACGTCGTTTCCACCAATGCTAACGCCTTAGCATCCTTGAGATAACCAATCACTGTACTGCAAGCGCTCTAGAAACTGGCTGGAGGAGGAGGTCCTTAGTCGAAGTTTTATTAGCTGTCTCCAGAAGTAACATTTATTACCACAATTTTGACCTTTAGGTTTCAAGGCCCTGGCTATAAGGAACCGTCATAATAAACAAACACAGACGCACATGTTTAATTGAGAGATAGCTGAATGTCATATTTAAATTCCCCAATGAATGCAGCTTGCATGTGATATGAACGTGGCCCCCGTGTTTCTCAAGCAGAATATTTCTGTAAAAATGTGGATGGTTTACTCCTTTACAGAAAAGACCACTGATTAAAAAGTTACATGACTGAAATAGTACCAGTTTAATTTTTCAATAAGTGTGTTTGTGGTACATTCTAAACCAGAGTTGGTTTGCTCAATGCAGTTGGCCCAATTCTGTAGGTTAAAATTGTTGGCTAATTTGGGACACAATGTGTACTATCACATTTGCCTTCTCTTGATAAACATGTCCCAATACATGCAGTGCTAAGTAAGTGACATTAAAGTTTATTTATTGTCTATTTACTGTACTTATTTACAGGACTTATATGGCCACTGTTATGAAAGAGTTATGAATGTTATGTCTAGCTATTCAATTTTCAGATGCATCTTTCATACTAGTTTGTTAAAATATGTATATTGTTAAATTATTTTAAAAGTATATCTGGTTTCTGCATTTTGTATGTTTCTATTCTTCTTAGCACAAATTAGAGTTATTTATTCAATTCAGCTGGGAAACCAAATCCAGCCAAATCTAAAAATGGTAGGGAATTTCTGAAAATCTTATTGTAAATAATGACAAAAAGTTTTTGTTTTTTCTGATCATTTTCAATGTTGTAATATAATTGTGGCTGGGTAATGTTTTGTTTTTATTGTTTATTTTATAATAGCAAAGAAGTTATCTTATTTAACTAAAGTAACTCTCTGTGGCTCACCTATATTAGGAAAACTAACTGGAATGT